GTTTCATTCAAAAACAAAACATGAATTGATTCAAAATTGATTTGTTTATCAAATGATATTTTTATTTGACCCAAATTTGATTAAAAAGAGTGATTTTAATAGGTTTTATGTACGGCACACGAACTGCCAAAATTCTGGTAGCCTTTGCAAATAGGGTTGACCCATAACTTTACTGTCGCACAACGTCAAAATAAAAGCGACATATATGGAAGCCAGAACTAACAAGCTGTATAAGTATATGATTTAACTCTGACACATTTTCAACAGAAAGGTCCCCAAACTATGATACAAGTATGTTTACTGCTGGAAAACTAATGTATTATACTCATTATTTTAGAAAATCCTCATATTCACGAATTCGAAAACCTAGCTAAACACTGTTTCCGGTACTTTCTGTACATAGCTCTGGGGAATTCACCTAATGGAAAGTAATAGAGAACTCGATGTTTTCGGCCTTTTTTAAATTAATTTGAAATAAAACAGTTATTTCTTTATAAGAAAGTAATAAGATATCATTGTATGAATAATTCCATACAAAAAATAATGAAAATACACAAGTTTACGCAGAAAATAACCTTATTCATTATGGAAGATTCCACTACGTCTGTTTTAATTTTATTGATTTTCATTAAAAACAATTTATTTTTTGAAAAAAATTGCAATAGATATTAAAGGAATATTGATAATTTTCAAATACATCAATTTTTTTTTACACCTTAACAGTAAAATGATGAAAGAAAAATAGAAATATCATGTAACTTTCTTATGTACTTCATTTGGTGTAATTCCCCAGAGCTAAATCTGTAACGTACCGGAAAACGGTGTTTAAGCCTCGGTCTCACTTACTCCCGGCAGAGCCCAGGACCATCCCGGTAAGTTACCGGGATGATTCGGGACGATCCGGGATGAAATTATTGTTGCGGTCACACTTACCCCGGCAGCACTACGGTAGTTCCCTACTATCCATCCAGGATGTGCTCCGGATCATCCAGGCATAGCCCAGGTGAAGCTACGGTTCATGCCGGTGCTTCCTCGGTTGTTCCCGGATGACGCCGGAAGAGCCCCGGTTGACCACGGCAGAGCCCCGGTCGATCCAGGCAGAGCCCAGGACGATCCAGGCAGAGCCCCGGTAGAACCCCGGTGGATTGAAAACGCCCGAAAATGATAACATTGATACATAATTTTTATTTAATATAATATCTATTGTTCCAGAATAGTATTAATGATGATTTTCTGAAAAACCTTATGCCATACTGGATAGAAGGGAAATGGGAAGGCTTTTTAATACAAGCAAGTTCAATCATCGCAAATTGTCCTTATTCTTTTGAAATGATCCGGGCTTTGCCGGGGCTCTACGGGATCAACCGTAGCTCTACCTTTATCCTCCGGGGCTCTGCCTGTAGTTACCGGGGGCTCTGCCCGAATATACCGGGGCTCTAACCGTAGCTCTACCGCTATATCATACCCCGGATCATCCCGGTTTTTGCCGGGCAGAGCTACGGTGCTTTCCCGGTATAACCCCGGTAGAGTTAAGGATGAAGCCGGCAAAGCTATACCTTCCCAGATCATCCCGGACCACCCCGGTGATATTAAATATTTTATTCCATCCGGGGTCGAATGCCGGATGTTCCCAGATCATCCCGGATCATCCAGGACGTTGCCGGCAGAGTTACGGATGTACCCCGGTTGTTCCCGGTCATTCCCGGATCACCCCGGACGTCTACCGGGGCTCTGCCGGGATGTAAGTGAGACTGTAGCTTTAGCCTAAGGTTTTCGAAAAGGTCAATTGTATGTATAGTGGAACCCCATTGTATCGTGCTATTCATTGTATCGATCTATTTACAAATCTTTCGATTTTTTTGCAAAATGCAGAAGCTACTGATTGCTAACATTTACAAAAGTGTCATGACAGGTTTCCAGTACCGTCAGACTTTGTAGATAATATATGGACTTATAAATAATGTGTTCTTATTAAAAACACATTTACTGACTTTTGAAAGTTCCTAAATTTATGCTGACATTTTAAAACAGACATCTTTGATTCTAATTGACTGAAAAATATAGCATAAAGATGCGTTAGCCTTCCAAAACTTAGATTAACTGAGCGATTCTCACAATGCATCGATATAATGGCGTGACCTAATTCTTCAACCTGTTATGTCTGTAAATAACCGTTTATTTCAAAGCTAAAACTATATATCAGTGGTGTTTGCCATGTAATATTTTTGACAAAAGAATCAAAATAAATGATACAAAATAAAGATTCAGGGAAATTTAATGTTTTTTTACTGCAGTTGTGATTTATATAGGTTAATAGATCGATACAACGGGGTTCCAGGCTAGTATATAGATATAATGTACAAACATGCTTGCATGAGTGAATAAAGATATCTGTCTGTCTGTCAAAAAAAAATTATTTTTCATGAAATATTTGACCAATTTTTTGTCAAACTGTTACAACACCTGTCCAAATTTATCTCGAGGTCTCTTTGACAGGTCTACTGTAATTTGGACTCAACACTAACATAATTTTGATTTGCTCCCATATTTTATCAGACTTTTTATTTGGAGGGGACATAAAAATGTTCAACATCTCATAAAGTGACTTTTGTTCTGCGGTTGCAATACAAAATAAACTGAATATTATTAAGGCAGAAAATTAAACATAATGTTATCGGTTTCCGGGATTTTATCCGAAATAATACATACCCGAATACACACGCACTTTTGCTGAATAACTTCTGATCCAAACGACTTGCTGCCAGTTACTAACACAAATAACTTCTTTGTTCATTAATTACAAACTAATCATTATTAAAACAAACCGTTACACTGTTTAAAGTCTTCATGTTGCTTGCTTGAAAAAAAGTTTTTTTTTGCGTTCAAAGCATTGATAAAGTCCGTGTTCACAATCCGGAATACACAGCTAAACTCTGTTATTTCAAACGGAACAAGATGCTAAAATCTGTAACAATTCAAGATTGTGTATGGCATAATTTTCAGATTTGATGGATAGATTATTTATGTATTTATGTCCTGTACATTATCCATATTGATAAAAAAAATTAAAATAGAAAAAAAAGTCAACGGTCAGGGGTCAAGGAAACAATTTATTAATGGTCAGTGACCTTCACAAAAAAGACTTGTCAGATAATTCTAACACGACTCGCATTTTTCCCTATTGAATATAGAAGAACCGAAAGTGTGTGTTATTATGCAATAAAGTCACAGTTGACGTTCTATATTTAGATATGTGACGTAATCATTATACATGTGACGTAATCACACAAAAAAATCTGACGCGCTGAAAATAAGTACGGAAACAAATCAGGCGCAATTTTGCTTAATATCAGGTATGGCAGCATTTATTTGTTGATGTCGTGTTAGAATCGAAATAATATATCCAAATCGGTAATTTTATCGCTTGATAACATCACTGTTTGTCGTTCGGATGCGCATCATTATATCACTTAGGCTACGCCCTGGTCATGGATATATAAATCCGTGGCCCTTAGGTGATATAATTTGTCGCATCCGAACTCCAAACAGTGATGTTATTGAGCGATAAAATCACTGTTTGGGATATATTATTTCTTAAATAACTTAAGAAAATTTTGACTTACTATCATATCATTTGGTAGGAAGGTTGGCCATGGCAAATTATTTAGAGGTCAGTAGGTCAAAGGTGCAGGTCATTGTGACCAGCAATCACTCACTTAAAAAATATCACAAAACTTGTTTATATTAAATTTATAATCCTACAATGAAAAAAGGGTCCCTGGGTAATTTTCCTTGTTAATCTTTGGTAAAATTTTGATTTTGCAAAAGGTTTAGTTAATTATTATATGCATAATTAACTAATTCTGAATATCGAATCAAAAATTTTCAAAAGTTTATCACTGTTTTTTTTTTTCACTACATCTAAATTATATACGATATAAAATTTGCAAGACTTAAAGTTCAAATTTGACAGCCAAAGCTTATAAAATCTAAGGTTGGTCACTGGACTGCATACTGTATATATAATTATATATAATAAGTCATCCAATATTCAATCAGGGCATTTTCACCCTATCATAAGGCCCCATCTCCAGTCCAAAATGGTCTCTTTCTTTTTCCAATTCCAAGAAAAAAATCCAAACAGCAGCCAAACAAATCAAACTGATCTTTTCTTAGAAAAAATTGAACTGTTTTCAGTTGATTCTTATAAAAAAAAGTGACAGGTTATATGATCACATGTTTAAAACTCAAGTAATGTATAAAGTTTTTTATGAACTTTTTAAAATTTCTCAAATTTCCCAAAATGTTACATAATTTTTCCCAATTTATGCCGAAGGCCTTTTCCTAAAATGGTCGGAAAAGCCTTTTCCAGTGATATTCTAAAAACCCTGTATCATCGCCATGATCAAAATCTAAAGATAATAGCCTGCAAAATTGTAGGTTACATTCATTTTCACAGGTTGTCAAATTTATTTACAAGATTGTAACCAGATGTTTAAATTTGATAATTGTAGCTTTCAATCAACCTCAATTTTTGAGATTTAATTAAATAACAAGTTAAATGACAGGACAAATGACAACTGACATGGTACCTTTTTAACCTGAGGATGGTTATTTGTCCACTTTTTGTTGCCAAGAGGCATCACAGAGTGGGGGCCATGCTTGGCTGTTTCTTATTTTTAAATTTAAATACATCAAAAGGAATAAGAATAAAGGAAATAAGCAAATTTTAATAATTTGACCTTAATGGTCAAGGTCAATTAAAGGTCAAGGTCAAATTAGAACAATTCACCATATTAGTTTTGTCATGTGTTCTTTTGTGAAAGTATGAATCAAATCTGTAAGTAAATCACAATGTTATGACCATTTAAGCAATTTTCAATAATTTGACCTTCATGTTCAAGGTCAACTAAAAGTCAAAGACATATAAACATAATTCAACATGTCGGTTTGTCATATGTGCAAACAAAATTCTGTGGAAGACAAAATAAAAACAAAGATAATAGCTCCGTACTTTTTATTTAAACATAAAAACTAAAGAACTAATTTCTTTATCAGTTAACATAAATACTACAACCTTGTGTTTAATTGCTTTAGATCAATATAATCAATGAAGTATGTTGTAATTTTCCTATAATCAGTTTCAAAAAACTAATCTTGTTTTACAATGCAATAAATCATCAGTGTGAAGAATGGCACAACCTAAAATAATTTACAAAATATTACTTTTGCACACATAAATTTTTTAAGCAAAATTTTTACTAAGTTTGCATTTTTAACTCTTCCATGCGAAATCTTCTATTTCAATGTTAAACATGCCTTTGGAATGTCATAAAAAGCTTGAGCACCAAAAAGCTAGCGGGTGATGGCATCAGCAGTTAATGTTGTAAAGTCATGTACCTTTCAACAACATGTATGTACCATTTGAAGTTATGCTACAAAACTTGACTTAAAGGGACTCAACTTAAGTTTTTTGACATGACTGGACTGGAAATAATTTTTCGAGATTAATGTTCCATTTGATCTGGGACATGACCAATAACATTGTGAGCACAATTTCAAATCAATTGCTCACTCTGTGTTTAAAAATAATTATTCCAATTGTGTAAATGTCCATTCAAATCGGGCTAGGAATAGCACAAAAATTTGATTTTCAATTTTATTTTTGGGTATATTTCTTGTCTTTGGCATTATATTTCTAGTAGATCTATGAAAAAAATTAAAACTTTATATTCTCAGGAATTTTCTTTTCATTATTTTTTGTTGTTGTCATTTTAATACTGGTATTCATGGCATTCACAATGAGCAGTTATAAATGTTCACAATAAAATAGATGAAAGTGTTTATATATCATGGTAAAGATTACTTACTTTCTTTTTTAGTTCAACAATTTCAGGTCATGTGATTCCATGCACTGAAATAATTATAACAAAGTAGTAGACAAAATTAATAGTACAAGTCCATGTAAAACACATAAAATTATCATAGAATTTACAGAACAGAACAAAAATAAACAATCAAATAAAAAAGAGCAAAAATAAACAAAAGGTGAACAAATAAGTAATAAAAAAAACAAATGAAAACATCAAATAAAAGAATTGTACAGCAAATGTGAAGCATGACTTATATTTTGCGCCCAATTTTAATCATCAAAAAATATCTATGGCACTTATAATTAATCTAAATAAACAAAATAAACAGACATAGATTGCACACAAAAATAAATGGCAATGTTAACTCAATAAGCATGCTGGTATAATGAGATTATACCCTAGCAACCAGTGCAGACTAAGATCAACCGGCATATCCATAATGTCACTATTCAGTCAGTTTAAATTTTGAAATTTCCTCTGAATATGATAAGAATTTTTGCCCAGATTGACAGATGGTCAAGTCCCTTTAAGATATTTAGTGATGCAAGGATTCTATTTAACAGAACAAATTTTCCTTAACCACTACCTCTTTTTCCACATATACAAAATTACTGTAAGGTAATAAAGGATTAACATACAAATAAATAACAAGTAAATGGTGAAAATCTGAGTGACATTACATCAAAATATTACTTGAAATTTGTCAACAATTTATAGTAATTGTATTGAAAAATGTAACAATTTTTTAATCCATAGAATTATCTTAAAATAATGCAAAATCATTTATTAATTCCATAGAATTATCTAATATCTAAAACAAGAGGGCCATGATGGCCCTGAAGTCGCTCACCTGTATATAGGCCCCCGTAGCAGGGCCAGTTTAAACCCCAGGGCTTTTATTTGAACAAACTTGGTAGACACCCATTAGAAGATGTTTCATGCTAAACATCTAAGGTCTAGCTGGTCAAGTTTTTTCTTTAAACATATAGTTAAAAACAATGACACACCTGGGGCAGGGCCAGTTTGGACCCAAGGGCTTTTATTTGAACAATCTTTGTAGACACTTACTAGAAAATGTTTCATGCTTAATATCTGAACTCTAGCTATTCGGATTTTTCGAAAAAAGATTTTTAAGTTTTTGCTATATACATATAAGGAAAATCAATGATCCCCGGGTGGGGCCAATTTTGACCCCAGGACTTTTATTTGAACAAACTTTGTAGACACTCACTAGAAGATGTTTCATGCTTAATATCTAAACTCTAGCTCTTTGGGTTCTTTAAAAGAAGATTTTTTAAGTTTTTGCTATACACTTATAACAAAATCAATGACCCCCAGGGCACATATGAGCCGCGTCATGACAAAACCAACATAGTGGGTTTGCGACCAGCATTTATCCAGATAAGCCTGCGCATCCACGCAGTCTGATCACGATCCATGCTGTTCGCTAGCAGTTTCTTTACTTGTTATAGGGTCTGTAAGCGCACAGCATGGATCCTGATCAGACTGCGCGAATGCACAGGCTGGTCTGGATCCATGCTGGTCGCAAACCCATTATGTTGGTTTTGTCGTGACGCGGCTCATATAAGGAAAATCAATGTCCCCTGGGGCGGGGCCAATTTTGACCCCAGGGCTTTTATTTGAACACTCACTAGAAGATGCTTCGTGCTTAATATCTAAACTCTAGCCATTTGAGTTTTTTCAAAGAAGATTTTTTAAGTTTTTGTTATACACATATAAGGAAAATCAATGACCCCTGGGGCGGGGCCAATTTTGACCCCAGGGCTTTTATTTGAACAAACTTGGTAGACACTCACTAGAAGATGTTTCATGCTTAGTATCTAAACTCTAGCTATTTGGGTTTTTTCAAAGAAGATTTTTTAAGTTTTTGCTATACACATATAAGGAAAATCAATGACCCCCGGGGCAGGGCCAATTTTGACCCCAGGGCTCTTATTTGAACAAACTTGGTTGACATCCATTAAAACATGTTTCATGCTAAATATCTTAGCTCTAGCTTTTTGGGTTCTTTAAAAGAAGATTTTTAAAATTTTACTATATGCATATAGGGAAAATCAATGACCCCTGGGGCGGGGCCAATTTTGACTCCAGGGCTTTTATTTGAACAAACTTGGTAGACACTCACTAGAAGATGTTTCATGCTAAATATCTTAGCTCTAGCTCTTTGGGTTCTTTAAAAGAAGATTTTTTAAGTTTTTACTATATGCATATAGGGAAAATCAATGACCCCCTTGGGCGGGGCCAATTTTGACCCAATGGCTTTTATTTGAACAAACTTGGTAGACACTCATTAGAAGATGTTTCATGCCAAATATCTAAGCTCTAGCTCTTTGGGTTCTTTAAAAGAAGATATTTAAAGTTTTTTCTTTCGGTTGCCATTGCAACCAGAGTTCTGCATGGAATTAAATTCTTTGAACAATTTTTAAAGGTGACCACCAAAGGAACATTCCTGTGAAGTTTGGATGAAATTGGCTTAGTGGTTTATGAGGAGATGTCATTTGAAGCAAAAGTTTACGGACGACAGACAGACAACTGACGGACGGATGACGGACGGACGCCGGACGAAAAGCGATCACAAAAGCTCACCCTGTCACTTTGTGACAGGTGAGCTAAAAAAGTTCTGCACCCAGAAAGTGTTCCCACATGGTGTATTTGAAACTGATCCAGTAGAACAGAATCAATCTTGTATAAATTATAATACTATAACTACTTTTCTAACAGTAAGCAAGAAAGCCCAGCGTTGGAGGTTATAAAAAAATTCTCTAAGCTCAAACTCAGATCTCAGTTATTTGATTGGTCAGAAAATCCCCACAAAATGAACATTGACCAATGAAAAATCTGAGATTTGAAAAAAAAGACACTCAGAAAAAAGTTTTATAACCTCGAGGCCAGACAAACTATGATGAAATGAGAAAGACCAGACAAAATATGGTGAAAGACAGAGGGAGATCCTTAATATGATTGCAATCTACAACAAAACATCACAGATGTAATGTCTTAATAGCCTAAATTCTTTCTTGCTCCACCAAACAGACACACAAATTACAAACATACAAACAAATTTTAGATTTATTTTGTTTAAACAAAGCTTCTAAGCTTTAAATTATGAACAGTTTTTTTAATATTTAGTATTTCAATGTAAGACTACATGTAGCTTGAAGTCAACACAGATAAAAGTGTACCTAAATTATGCAAATAGAGGACATTATTTTTGTTTGTTTTGCATGTAAGATTAAAATATATTTCATTGAGTGAACACTAGATGTAATATTTACATGAATGGCATGCCACTCATGATAATATAAAATCTGGTGTTCACAAGTGAAATATAATTTGATCATAACAGTATAATACAAAACAAACACCTTTTCATACAAAACAAACACATTTTCATACAAAACAAACACAGTTTCTATTTATTGTATGCCTTTTAACAGGTTTAAGTCATTTTTACAGAATAATTTCCGTGTAACCTTATGTGCTCTCATATATGACATCATCAAATCATGACATCACATTTTTCAAAAATCATAAATTCTGTAAAATTTTATTAATTTTGTTACATTTCTAAAATGATCTGTGCAGGTATTTATATACTTCTTGTAATCCAGCACAGTTTACTCACGACAGAGTGTATTTCTGACAATATTTCGGCTTATTTAAGATTTAATTTTTTTCCATCCAAATTCAGATACAGTCCAGCTACTCTAAAGATTATATTTTTATAATTTCATGGTGAAATTATCAAAATAGAATTTCACTCTCAACTGTAAAGTATGTAATTATTAGTTAATTACTATTTACCTAAAGTGTTCCTATGAATAGGATCTATGCAAGTATAATCATTTACAAACATAACTAAACTGTCACATTATGTTTCATTAAATTGCTATTTACTTCCTACATATTTGCATCATTTTTCATCATTTAAGATTTAATTTTTTTTCCATCCAAATTCAGATACAGTCCAGCTACTCTAAAGATTATATTTTTATAATTTCACGGTGAAATTATCAAAATAGAATTTCACCGTCCACTGTAAAGTATGTAATTATTAGTTAATTATTTACCTAAAGTGTTCCTATGAATAGGATCTATGCAAGTATAATTATTTACAAACATAACTAAACTGTCACATTATGTTTCATTTAATTGCTATTTACTTCCTACATATTTGCATCATTTTTCATCATTTAAGATTTAATTTTTTTTCCATCCAAATTCAGATACAGTCCAGCTACTCTAAAGATTATATTTTTATAATTTCACGGTGAAATTATCAAAATAGAATTTCACCGTCCACTGTAAAGTATGTAATTATTAGTTAATTATTTACCTAAAGTGTTCCTATGAATAGGATCTATGCAAGTATAATTATTTACAAACATAACTAAACTGTCACATTATGTTTCATTTAATTGCTATTTACTTCCTACATATTTGCATCATTTTTCATCATTTAAGATTTAATTTTTTTTCCATCCAAATTCAGATACAGTCCAGCTACTCTAAAGATTATATTTTTATAATTTCACGGTGAAATTATCAAAATAGAATTTCACCGTCCACTGTAAAGTATGTAATTATTAGTTAATTATTTACCTAAAGTGTTCCTATGAATAGGATCTATGCAAGTATAATTATTTACAAACATAACTAAACTGTCACATTATGTTTCATTTAATTGCTATTTACTTCCTACATATTTGCATCATTTTTCATCATTTATATGCTATATGCTAAACACATTAAACAAGACCTGCCAGCAGTCAGCACGCTCAATTTTTCTCCATGTTGGATAGTTGAAAAAAACAAGGCAACACATGAAAAGCGGCATCATTCTTCAAACATGCTTAGCAGACTTACCTTATTTTGATAATCAACAAGTATTTTAAAGTTTGAAGAGAATACCTTCAACAGTTTTTTGCGAAAAAGGCAAATACTCAGTCCAAAAAGGGAAATAATTAAGCATATATAAGCTTTCAGGATTATCTGCCCCTTGGAAATGTATTTCGCTATAACACATAATAAAAATACTTAATTTCAAAGTCACGATGGTAATCAATATGTTTTATAAAATTTCAAAAGTTGAAACACCCACAAAAAATTGTAAGTTTTCCTGCGTAAAATAAAAATATTGAACATTCTTGAGTTTCATACATTCCCAAATATTCATACACTTATTTCTAACAAAGTAATTTGTGGCTTCCTAGCTTTATATTTGGTGTAGGAAAATCACAATTGTCTCTTTCAAGTATCATTTAAGGCACAAGCTGGCACTTGAGTAGAACTACAGACCTTTCACAAGCTCAGTGGATAGCTTCCTATAAAGATTTCTATGCAGTCTATGGTGGCCGCACTTTGAACCTACAGCAGTGAAGGGTTACTAATTTGAGACTTAAACCACTCGCACTTGAAGCCATAAATTAACATAATCTGCTGCAATTATCAATAGTAATTCATGTGGAAAATGCTATTACTTTATGGCAACAATTGATGGCAACTTTTTTTTTTATAAAAATACAAAGTACTACATAATTATCAAAAATCAATAAAAAAAACTAGTCTTTATCATTTATTTATAAAAATGGTATTTATATATTCAATTAATACATCAAAATGTGAGGACTGTTCCTTGTGCAGAGTTGAAATAAAGGAAATAAGTTTTTTAAAAAATAATATTTAACATATATTTTTATAAGGATGTATAGGGAGCAAAAACGCTGTTGTACAGTTGCACCGTTGCACCAAATCTGATTATGGTCCCTTTTATCACATCATTTACAAAATGAAAACATTTGATAAAATAAAAAGTTGAAATAAAGCAAACAAGTTTTTGAAAGAAAAAAAACAAAACAAAAAAAAAACAAAACATTTAACATACACCTATAAGGATGTAAAAGCAGTTAAAATGTTGTTGTACATTTGCACCAAATTCTGATTATGGTCACTTTTATCACATAAAACATATACTTATCAAATGAAAACATACAGTAAACTAGAGCTGTCATTGGTTCAATGCTTAGCATATGAAAGATACATCGATATCCGATGACAAATATTGACAATACACCTATATACCCATAATAATTTGTCTGTATTTCATTTTCATACCTGTTTAAATGATTTTAGTAAAGTACATAATCTGTTCATATATTTATGATTTATCTTGTTTATAAATGCCCAATGTATAACTTTTTCCTGACCATTTTTTATTATCACTGCTTTGAAATATGTCCATTCAGGTCCGGCAAAATCTAATTTTGACTTACTAGTCCATTTTTATCTGAAGCATTTCTTAACTTGTCGGTATGAAATTTTATATAGTAAATTCTTGAAAATTTCCACTTGTCCGTACATCCTATAGGACGACCTGGGCAAAACAGACAATTAATTTAGCCTTGCCCTTGCCATTAAGTAAAGATTGCATAGTGTTAGACATGGCCATCTGTTTCTGCATATGTTTTGGGTTAATTTTCATAATTTCTAGACATTGAAATAATTAGTCAAACTTACTGATTTTTTCAAAAATGTATTATCAATATACAGAAAAACAGCGACAATACATCAGGATTGTTTCTATCAATGACAGCTCTATGGTAAATATGGCACCAATTTGACATTAACAATTTTATTTTATTTGAGAACTCATCTAAATACTCCTACATTCAATCCGTTCAATTGTGCTTAGCATCAGCTACCAAGTTTTTCATGTCCAAAAAATAAATAAAATAAAGCATACAAAAGAATAAACCACAAAAATAAACCTCAACAATAGATTTGATCAATGACAAAGGAATGGAATTAATTACATTTGTATAATTATCATGCATTTTCATTATGAAACACTAATGTCAGGCATGAATTGTAAACAATATTCTATCTGTAATAATTCTTTATATTATCAGTGAACATTCCGGATGGAACTCCGAGACTATCTTTCGACAAGAATTCACTCATGCCCATATCAACACCAACATCTGGAAATGACCTGCTAGCTGACGCAGCAGACGTTCCATTCAACACATTCTGATTGTCTGATGCTCGATTAGCTTCATAGTTCACAATATCATCAAGAGAATCAAGTGAACCACTTGAGCTTGCTCGATTGTTTCCAAAATTTGATAACATGTTCTCAGTTAATTGACCATTCTTATCAGAATCTTTAATATTCTGCCAGCTCATGAATTGTGGAGATGACTCTCTTGAACCAGAAGCAGACGGAGTGTTATTAGATTTCACAGTATTTGACGGCAATTCATTTTGATTACGTTCCTTCTTTGTTGAGTCAAGCTTTTGTGTAAAATTGCTATTGAAAGACTTTGTGGGATTAAATTGTTTTCTATTATTTCCTCGCCAGTTTGTGTTTCTATTCATGTCACTGTTGAAATTTCCTTCCCTGCCATAAAAGAAACCATTGTGCATTGGGCTATCAAATGGATGTCTGTAATAATTACCTGGCATACCAACAGGTGGCCCATACCTTGGCCCCGAATATCCACCATTTCTACCTCTAAACGGAGGCATACCATGATAACCTCCCCTGAAATGAGGTGGTTGGTGATGAAACATTCCCTCGCCACCTCTAGTAAATGGAGCATAACCTCGACCGTACGGAGGAACGCCATTTTGTGGACCATGAAAATATGATCCACTATCAGGCCTACCATGGTTACCCCTTGTTCTTGGAACAAATTCTTTTTTCTTCTGATGACCTCGAGGCTGATGAGAACCTCCTCTTGCTTCATTCCAACCATTATAGCCGTTCCCAAACTTGCCAGGTACAGGGTTTGTACCATAACCATATGGTGCTCCAGTTTGATCATTTGTGAACTGCGACTGGCCGTAATTTGACCAATTATCACCGGTGTCATCTTCATCGTCATCAACGCCTACACTCCAGTCCTGTACAAACTGCCTCTCTTTCTCTCCCTCAAACGCATTAAATCCACTCGGATCATATGAACTGCTCCTACTAAATGGTTGCCGTACATTTCTTCCCATGAAGTTATCCTGCACGTTTTGACCATTTTGATTTATTCTATTTCCTGGTCTAGCAAATCCTTCATTGCCCTTCATATCTCTTTCACGAATGGTTTCAGTGTTTGAAAAATCAGTGCAGAGATTAGAATTGGAATTATTCTGATTCATATTGGTGTTTCGGAATGAAAAACTCTTAAATGTTCCATTGGTTTGAGATCTACCACTATATCTACCATCTTCATTTTTTTGAGAATTATTCCCTGAATCATTAGAAGAAATAGAGGTACTGGACAATGGCCGTATTATACTGTAAAAATAAAATAAACATCAAGTATAATAAATAATTAGTTTGTTTAGTATAACATTTAAAGCTGTACATTTTGAAATTAATAAACATCAGTGGAAACTAGAACTATCACTAAATGTGATTAATACCCCCACAAGACTGCTTCGGAAATGAGGATGTTACTAGTAACAGAATACCTTGTAAAAGAATTGAAATATAGAGTTATGGTTGTGGGCAATTAAAGATAGTTGTGGTTCTTGTATGTTGCATTTCCTTTAAATGTGGTTGGCCATTGATGAAGTTTTATTGAATTACTCTGTAATTAGTCCAGAACGACAAAGAAAAGGAACAAAGGGCAATAACTCTATAAATACTGAAGATGGAGTTATAGTTCTTGTGCACTGCACTTCCTCTTATTGTGCTTGACCATTGTATGAAGTTGTTTTGAATTCCAACCAGTATGTTTTAAGATATGCTCCGGACAAAGAAAAGTCTCAAAGGGCAGTAACTCTGTATTTAGTCAAAATGGAGTTATGGCTCTTGTGCACTGCACTTCCTTTTAATGTCCTTGACAACTGTATGAAGTTGTATTGAATTCCAAACAGTAGTTTTCAAGTTATGCTCTGGACAAGGAAAAGTAACAAAGGGCAATAACTCTGTAATTAGTCAAGATGGAGTTATGGTTCTTGTGCACTGCACTTCCTCTCAATGTGCTTGACCATTGTATGTAGTTATATTGAATTCCAACCATTAGTCTTCAAGTTATGGTCCGGACAAAAGAAAGCAATGGAAAAGTAACTAAGGCCAATAACTCTGTAATTACTTTAGATAGAGTTATGGTTCTTGTGCACTGCACTTCGCCTTATTGTGTTTGACAATTGTATGATGTTGTTCTGAATTCCAACCAGCAGTTTTCAAGTTATGCCCCGGACAAGGAAAAGTAACAAAGCGCAATAACTCTGTAATTAGTCAAGATAGAGTTATGGTTCTTGTGCACTGCACTTCCTCTCAATGTGCTTGACCATTGTATGTAGTTATATTGAATTCCAACCATTAGTCTTCAAGTTATGCTCCGTAGAAGGAAAATGCAACAAACGTCTGGACCGACCGACCAACCATCCGACCGACCACCGGGTGACTCCTATATACCCCCCCCCACCCCCACCCCCAAACTTTGTTTTTGGGGGTATAAAAAAAAAACCTAACTAAAAAAGTTTGTCTACGAGATAAGGAGTTTTAAACTAGCTATATGCTCATATCCAAATTTACACATTATGTTTATATGTATATGTAATAGACAAACAGGTCTGCTTTTTGCCAAATTCATAACACATTAATGCTGAAAGTAAATTATTTCATTAAATGTAAATTTCCTTTTGATGAATGTCATAGTGATATTTAATCATTATTGGATGTGACATTTAATCATTATTGGATAAACACTTACTTAAACTTTTACCGCATTATTAATTGGATAAACTATTCCTGCCTAGTTAATTGGATAAACTCTTTAATTTTTATTGTGTCACTATTGGATAAACTCCTACCGTATCATTAATTGGATAAACTTTTACTGCATTATCAATAAGATAAACTTTAACTGCATTTTTAATTCAATAAACTCTTAATGCATCTTCAATTGGATAAACTAACTGCAGCATTATTTGTAAGAAGGTGTGATATAAAAGATCTGTAGTGATCCATACTCATCTATTTCATCCAAGATAACAAATCTGTTTCCTGGCTTTGCTGATTTTGTAGGCATTCTGTTTCGCTCCTGTGTTTTATTTATGCTGACTCCAGTCTTCTCTTTAGCTTTCTTACTGGAAGTACTGCATAACAAAAATAAAACAAACGGAACATGTATCAAGTTATCAGAAAAATAATTTTTGTGTGTTCGGTTTTACATTGCACCAACGCAGTATAGTCATATGGCGACTTTCCAGGTTTACTAGTGGAGGAAGACCTCAGGTGCCCATTCCATGAATTATTTCAGGCACACCACCAACATTCCATAAGCTAGCTAGTTAGCTTCCTCACATGAAAAAATCTAAAGTCCCTGTTGGGATTCGAACCCAGACCAACAAGGGGCAAGTGGTTTGAAGTCAACAACCTTAACCACTTGGCTATGGATGCCTTCAAGGTAAATTATACGCAATATCAACAATTAAAATAGTAAGGATTCAAAGCATGCTTTAGCAATTAAATATCAATCAGACACTTAACATATTTTACCATATTTTAAATTAGTGAATGCAATTTTGTCAATAAATTTCTGCTTAAAAATTTCAATTTTTTTAATGATTATGTCAGACGTATTGCGAGCTATTTTTTCATCACTTGACTGTACACTTCCATATGAAATCATCACCATTAAAGATCCTGTATGTGGTAACATAGGTTGTAACAACACTTAAGTGGAATTTTATATATGTATACAATTATACTTCTAAAACAATTTACAAACATCCAAGAATATGTAAAATATGTACTGCAAATGTTTATACACATTATAAGTAATCATTAAGATATATGCATTCATTTCTTATCAACTTGAACAGGCAATGATTAAGATGTTTTGTAAGACGATATGGTCATTTCGATTAAACAGTAAAAATTATCATAAACGTTTACGACTGAAAATCGAGACAAATCCGTTTAAACGTGTAACCATGGGGGCCTTAGAGACAGGTGAGCTAAAAAGAATTGAGTTACAGGATCTTTAAAACAAATAATGATTTACCTGTTTGTGTTTGTATTCACTCGATGTAATGGTTTGTCTGGTTTTTCTGACTGTACAGAACTACCCGAGTTGTCCCTCTGTGTAGCCCCTATACCAGACTCTTGTCTTTTCTTTTCTATTGGTGGAAAAATACACTGACTATAGAACAATACTGAACCCATTAAGAAAATTCACAACAATTCATGGTACTACATAAATCATTGTGCAAAAATTTTATTTTTAGAGAATTGTTTGAAAATTCGAGTCTCACAATTATGTTGGCAAACCATTCCAGTTATGTCGGCAAACCATTCAAGGGTAGAAAGAAAAGAGCACTCTGCAAAAGAATGACAGTATTAAAAAATAAATAAAGACTAATTACATATCCTTTAACAGTTTAATTAAAAATAATGAATATATATACCTCGTTGTCGTGCCTTTCTTGTCTTCTTTCCAGTATCAAAAAAATCTGAAACAGTTGAAACCACAATGTAATATTGATTATTCTATGAAATAACAATGTAACTTTACCTGAAATAACAATGTAACTTTATGTGAAATAACATCGTAACATTCCATGAAATGACAAATATGAAATGATCATCTACTTTAAACAAAAAATCTGTAATATCTTTCTTTTTCAAACCACTAAGTTTGAATGAATATATGCAAGTGATCTTGATTTGAAAGCAATACATCATTCTTCTATCATACAAAACATTTACTTACTGTTGGCTACAAGATTTTTATTATTTTTATGAAGTCATTACTCCTGAACTAATTCACCATTTGAAGATGAAATTCAGAGCATGAGATAATTTAAACTTCCAATATCATATACAATACAAAATATCTTTTTCTTACGACTAAAATTTATCTCATTTTCTTTTCCTTCTTCTCTTTTCTGTGCAGCGAGTCTTTCTTTCTCTTTTTGCTTTTCCATTTCCCTTTCATGCTTCTTCTTAAGTTCAGCAGCAATTTCTTCCATCTCTTTCTCTCTCTTTCTCTGTTCTGACTCTATCTTCTTTTTCTGCTTCTTATTTGACTTTTGCGGCTTTGATCCTGAAAACATTTTACAATATTTATCTTCTGGTTAATTTTTTTTCCCCTTAAAAATAAAATTGGGTTTGAGTAATATTTTGGGTTTAATTTTGAAGCGTATTTTCTGAAAAAAACTAGTACGTTTTGAAAAAAAAAAGGGAAAATTTCTGTGTAGCAACCCCTTTCCTTTTTTCTCTGGGATTCAAAAACATATGACAATAAAAGACTGAAATCTAAAACCTTTTTATAAGTTAAAAATGGAAAAAGGGAAAATAAAAAGTTCCCTTAAAAAAATTTTCAATTCCCCCCTTTAGAGGGGCAATAATACTATGTTTGATAAAAAAAATTTTTCCCCGCCAAAACCCCACCTTGATACCCAAATAAGGGCATGATTTTCCTTTAAAAGGGCCAAAAATTGGGAAAAAAAACAAAATTGAAATTAAAAACTGATAACTTAAACAGAACTAAGGAATTAAACACTTAAATCTGCTTTTAAGAATACTTATTAGAACTGGTGAATGGTATACTGCGGACATTTGCAAGAACCCCTGGGGTATCCCCGTCTGACAACTAAGAGGGTAGGGGAATAGGGTTTTACAACTTATTACTGGCAAAAAGTAGAACAGGGGTTTAAAATCTGAACAAATTTACCAAAAAAGGTTTTTTAAAAAATCTGAAACTTACCAGAACAGGGGTACAAATCCCGACAACCTTTACCATAAAAAAAAGGGGATTTAGGTCTAGAGTTCCCCGATCAGTTTTTTTCCTGCAAATTGGGTTTTTTCGTGATTAAACTCTGCAAACAGTTCTGTTTTCTTTTTCTCTTTGCTTTTGGGTTTAAAAAAAATTTTAAAAAACCCTTTAAAATTTTTAGGAAAGGAAGGAAAATTTTTTTCCCCCTTGTGTACCAAATTTTAAAAAGGTTTTGAAGTTTTTAAAAATTTTGGGGCCAAAAATTTTAAACATTCCTCAATTTTTTTCCCCGAATACTCATTTTAAATTGTGCAAAATGACACCAAAATGAAAGCTTTGCAAAAGCTTTTCACTCAAAAAACCCGGTTTAAACAAAGAAAAAAATTGATTTTCATTTTAAAACTTGTATACTTTCTTTATCTTTTTTCGATTTTTTCCGTATTAAAATCCGTCACTTCAAACAAGCATGAATTTTTAAATTTTTTATTTTTGGGTTTTTTTTCCCTTTAGTGGAGCTCCAAATTTAAAAAAATAACAAATTTTTTTAAAAATTTTGATATATTGTTTTACCCCAAAAAAACCGTTTTTTAAGAATCATTGGGACACAAAACCTTTTTTTTTCCCTTTTTCCCGGGGTTTTTTCCTTTTTTGGCCCCTATAAAAAAAATTAAAATTTTTTGAATCAAAGGAATTTTTTAATTAGGGGGAATCCCCGTTTTACAAAAAAAAAATTTTTTCCAAACTCCTTTTACAAAATTTTAAAAAGCAATTTATTAAGGAAAAATAAATTTTTTCCGTCAAAAATTGGGTTTCCCCCTTAAAAAATTTTTCATAAGAAAAAGAAATTATTTAAATTTTTTTAAAAAATAATTTTATTTTAAAATTTTAACTTTTAAATAATTTTTGTTTTTTAAAACCAAAAAAATTTTTAAAAATTTTATTTTTAAAAGGATAAGTATCAATCGAAAAAAAGAACCACTTTCCTTTTTAAACATTTTAAATTGGTAGGGGTTTCCTTTCAAAAAATTAAAATTAAATTTTTCCCTTTTTTTTTAAAAATTAAAGGGGCCGGAAATTTGACCCCCCCCCGGGAAAAAACAAAATTTGCTTTTTATTTTTTGACCAAAACCCAATTTTCCCCAAAATAACCGTCTTCACCTTGATGCATTTAAATTTTTTTTTTAATTTTTTCCCCCCTCCACCCAAATTTTTCGGCCGATGCAAAAAGTTTTGAAAACCTATTTTTTCCAAAACCATTTTAAAATTTTGGATTTCCTTTTTACAAGCTTTTTAAAATTCCTTTTCTTTTTTTAACAATTGGGACTTTTTTAAAAAAAAAGAAATTTTTTATAAGGGTAATTCCTTTAAAAAAAACCGTGTTTTCGGGGTTTTAAAATAAATTTTTTAAAAATTTAAAAATTTTGGGGGGACAATTCCCAAAAAAATTTTTTTTTAAACCGGAAAATTTGCTTTAAAAAGTGTTCGTATAAAAAAATGAAATTTACTTAAACAACCAAAAAATAGCCTGGGGATTTTAAATTTTTAAATTATATCATTGTGAGAAATTTTGCTTCCTTTTTTCCCTTTCCTCCCTTGTTTTTTCTTTTTCTCCAAATTATTAAAAAAAACCGGTTTTATACTTTTTCTTTGAAACCTTTATTTTTTTTAACCCTTGCTTTACCCCCAATAAATTTTTTCTTTTTTTGCCTCCAAAGAAAAAATTTTTTACCCAAAACAAACCCAAAAATTCAAGAAAAGCTTTTTTAAATTTACCAAACGCTTTCAAAAATAATTCTTTTTAATAAAAATCCAAAAGGGAGGAACCTCTTTTAAAGAGAAAAAAGAAAAAATAAAAAGAAAAGCCCGAATCTAATAAAAAAAATTTTTTAAAAACCCAAAAAATTTTGAAGAAAAGTTTTTTAACCATTTCCCTTTTTTTTTTTTAAAAAGCCCCTTTTTTTTTCTTTAAAAAAATTCCCGGTTTTTTCCCAAAAAAGGTTTTTTTTCAAATTTTCCCCAAAAATTCAAATTCCCTGAAGTTGAAAAAAAAAAAAAACAATTTTCCCCTTTTTTTTTTTAGGGGAAAGGTGATTAGAGAGAAATCTCCTTATTGTTTTATGTATTTTTAAACCCCTCGTCTATTTTCATTTTCCCAAACCCTTATTCTTTTCCATCTGACATTATATAAAAGATTTTTCCTAAAAATAGTAAAATTTGACCCCTTTTGACAAAGGCTGACAACCCGCTTTAAGGGGTTATAATAATAAAACCAAACCTTTTTGTCTCTGCCTTTTCTCCCGTTTCCTTATCTGTTTCTTGCTTACTTGAGGATAGTTTTGGTGTAAAGGTGTTTGTGATGCATACGTGTTTTGGAATGTTCTAGTGTGGCCATATGCATCATGTGTACCCTAAAAATATTCATAGATAGTAGAAAATGTATACGTGGAGAAATGTATAATAAAGGAAGGGAGATTAATCATGTTTGTATGGAGTAAAGGGTCAAAATTTTTAATTAACCCTACAACAATTTTAATCCGAGAAAACAAAACTTGCCTTGTATGCAAATAAGGGAATTGACTCTGTACAGTAAAAAGACAGGAATTTAAACTACATGTACAGAAAAATGGTGATGGTATGAGATCTTTCAAGTGTATTAAAGAAGTTGATTAATACAATGTACACATCAGAGACGGGACTGAAGGTGATTTTCGGCCCAGAAATGAGTAATGCCCTAAGACTTTTATTCACTTTTCAGGCCAATAATCACCTTCCGACCCTTCTCTGCTATTTATTTATTTCTAAATACTGTCACTTTCAATGCTAGGGATCATTTAATTAATTTCCTTAGCAACCAGTTTTATAAGACTTTGTGATTATGATCTTTCAAGGTAATGAGCTGAAATCATACTACCATTCAAAGACCCTGTGACCTTGACCTTTGACCTGGTGACCCAAAAATCAATAGGGGTCATCTACTAGTTATGACCAATCAATATGTGAAATATAAAGACTGTTTGATAAATAGTAACCAAGATAATAAGGGGAAATCATATTACCATTCAAGGCCCCTGTGACCTTGACCTTTGATCTAGTGACCCAAAATTCAATAGGGGTCATCTACTAGTTATGACCAATCAATATGTGAAATATGAAAACTTTGTGATGAATACTTTTCAAAACCATGTGGTCTACCGATGGATAGACAGTCAGACAGAGAGACCGACATTAGCAAAACAATATACCCCCTGTTCTTCGAAGGATCATGGTCATCTGGGTGCTTGGAAAGTAGAAAGTGAAAAAGTTTTAATTTTCTTGTAAGTTGCTATGCCAAAGTCAGTGATAACAGTTATCACTACTTTTACAATGAGGCGAGTGATTTAACTGAGATTTGATACAATTATGTGACATCAGTTACTGACGTAATTTCCGGCAGGGGTAAAACTCATGGAAACACAAGTCTGATATGCAAGAACAGCTGATACAGTATATTCAGTGACAATAATAATCACTTGGAAAAGTCAAGAACATTCAAACAACTTACGTATGAGGCATTATAATCATCGTCACTGGAATCATGGTATCTGTAGTAATCATCCTCGTCACTGTCTTCACAGAAAAATGCAAACGGACCGTGAAACTGGGCAAAAAACATCTCTGAAATAAAATCAAACAATTCATAATGTTCTCTTTTTTCTTTTCTTTTTTTATGTTGAATTTTAGGACTCAGTGATTTATTATAAAAATCTTACATTGGCAGCCGGTGCAGACCGTAATTATCTAGCTCGAGGGTAACTTTTTATGGCGGTAATGAGGCTCTGCTGAGTTACTGATAACAATTACCCAAAATTTTTTAGAATTTTTAGACCAGACTCGATTACTATATAATTATAATGTAAATACATGTACAATCTCTGACAACTACTTCTTGGAACGGATTCTTGGCTCTGCGGACTAAAACATTGTGTTCATTTACTTTCAAGTTACTGGTAGAGATTTTAAAATCACATACAAGGAAGCATTTTCAAAGAGGTCCTTGCACTGATGTGTCTTAGGAGTTTCAAATGAACCCCTTTATATGGTGACTAGGCAGCATTACTGTTGAAGGAAAATTTCAGATGCCTCTCTATGCGTTATAATACAAGTGGTTACCAGGGCAAAATTAAAAAAATAACTGTCTCAAATTAAAGAATCAAAAAACATATCACTTATCACATGTTAAGTGTAATATAGACTATGAAAATAAATTATTTATACATTTTTTATACTTATAATTTAGTTTTCTTAAGTTTACTTGTTTTCAAACTTTGTTAAGTCAGAAAGGTACTATTATATCAGGTTGGTATAGAGCATTTTACATTTTCTATTTTACTTTATTTGACATTGAAGTTCATAATTACATTCCGAAGCTGTTATTCTATAATAAAAGAGTTAAGACTATTATAAACAAGAGCTGTCCGTAAGACAGCGCGCTCGACTTTTTTATTGCTTGCCAATAAAAAAAGTTTTTGCAGTAAAAGGCAATACAAGAATTTCTGTATTTTTAAAGTGAACTAGTTGTTTGATACCCTTGAATATTACAGCAATGTTTATATGACATAATTTATGGTAAAGTGAACAAGTGGATAGGAATGAATTTTTTTAGATTTTTTAAGTTTTTTAGTGCTTGCCTATAATACAAAACATTGACAGTTAAGGGCCATAATTCAAATAAAATCTTTGACAGAATTACCTTCTCCTGGACATGTTTGGGAATCATGATTGTAAACAAGTATTCCAACTTTCAAATTAATATCTCAAACAGTTCAGTCAAAAAGTGGACTGGTACTAAAAACTTAACCAAGATTCTAAGTCGATAAAAGGCCTTAATTTTTAAAACAAATCCTTGACAGAGTTACCTTCTCTTGCGTACAGATGGGGGTAATGATGTGAAATAGCATTAAAAGTTTCAAAAGCAATATCTCAAAGGGTTAAGGCAATAAGTGGATTTTACCCATATTCAATGTATTTTCTAAGTCAAAAAGGGGCATAATTCTGTCAAAAACCTTGACAGAGTTATGTCCTCTTGTCTGTTGATGAAGGTCGTGATGGTAAACAAGTATGGTCAGTTTCAAAGCAATACCTCCAATGGTTTTGAAATAAAGTGAGGTGGTACAAAAAACTTAACCAAGCTCAATACACTTTCTAAGTCAAAAAAGGGCCATAATTCTGTCAAAAACCTTGACAGAGTTATGTACTCTTGTCTGTAGATGGAGGTTATGATGGTGAACAAGTATGGTAAGTTTCAAAGCCATACTTGTAATACTTCTGAAATAAAGTGGGGTGGTACGAAAAACTTAACCAAGGTGTGACGCCAACGCCGACGCTAACGCCGACGCCGACGCCGGGGCGAGTAGGATAGCTCCCCTTTTCATAGAAAAGTCGAGCTAAAAATTAAACAACACACATTAAAATGTCCTACCTTCAAACATGCGCCGTAAAAGTTCCTCCTGAAATCAACATAAACAGAAACAATGTACACAGATTAACTGCCATAGTAGCACAATAATTTAGGACTTTATATGCAGTAACTTTTTTAGTCCTTGTTTTCACAAAGAAAAATAATGAAATGTAATGGATTAACTTCATGTATATCAAACTCAAATTGACCTTGACTCATGTATAGTATGACCTTGAAGGTCAAAATAATTAAAAATCATATAATGACAATCTCATTTTCATTGCTTTATAAGAAATTTATATTCATAATAATATTGATCATATTAGTGTACAACACTTATATATAACAAGAGCACCGCTAGGCGGAGCATTATATGCCCGAAAGTGTTTTTTTGTATTAAGGATGAAGCAATTTGTAAGACATGGGAATTAGCTGTTCATCCTATAAAATTTTACAGCTGTAGGTTGATTAATACTTAAGTTATTAATAATGATCTTAACCTTTGACCTTGTGACCCCAAAATCAATAGTGGTCTTCTATCTTATATGGACAATCATCCTAAGAAGTTTGAAAATTGTGGGCCAATTGGAACTTTAATTATGCTCTAGAAACTGTTTTCAGTATTAAAGTAAAAGTGACTTTGACCATTGACCTTGTGACCCCAAAATCAATAGGGGTCTTCTACCCAATATGGACAATCATCCTATGAAGTTTGAACATTGTGGGCCAAATGGAACTTAAGTTATGCTCCGGAAACTGTTTTCAGTATCAAGGCAATAGTGACCTTGACCATTGACCTTGTGACCCCAAAATCAATAGGGGTCTTCTACCCAATATGGACAATCATCATATGAAGTTTGAACATTGTGGGCCAATTGGAACTTAAGTTATGCTCCGGAAACTGTTTTCAGTATCACGGTAATAGTGACCTTGACCTTTGACCTTGTGACCCCCAAAATCAATAGGGGTCTTCGATCCAATATGGACAATCATCCTATGAAGTTTGAACATTGTGGGTCGAATGGAACTTAAGTTATGCTCCGGAAACTGTTTTCAGTTTTAAGGTAATAGTGACCTTGACCTTTGACCTTGTGACCCCAAAATCAATAGGGGTCTTCGATACAATTTGGACAATCATCCTATGAAGTTTGAACATTGTGGGTCGAATGGAACTTAAGTTATGCTCCGGAAACTGTTTTCAGTTTTAAGGTAATAGTGACCTTGACCTTTGACCCCAAAATCAATAGGGGTCTTCTACCCAATATGGACAATCATCCTATGAAGTTTGAACATTGTGGGCCAAATGGAACTTAAGTTATGCTCCGGAAACCAAACTGCTAACGGACGGACGTACGGACCAACTTTTGATGTAAACTTATGAGGCAATCAGCTCATAAACACCACCTGGACCAACGTCCATAAGCAAAATAAGCTCATAAAAACAAAAAAATAGCTCTTAATTTGAATTTTATGAGTTTTTGTTCTTTATTTAACTACGGAATGAAGCTCATAATAATCAAATGTTTGACAGACAGACGGACGCCAGGGGGTATAACATAATATGCCCTTTTGGGTATATAAAAATGTTTTTTTAAAAAATACTGATTGCAATAACTCCAAAAATATAGCTTTCCAAATAATGACCCTTTTCTTGTTATTTTCTTATCAAGCTAACAAACTATTCCAAGTTTCATGTTGATAATTTTAAAAAAGTTTGAAAAATGGCCTACATTAAAGTTTTTGCATGACTTTGATGACGAAAGGAACAAACCAAGCAGATGATGTTTATAAGAAAGGAAGACAAGTGATGTTTGTAAACTAAAACAATTATTTTTATAGTTTTGTATAATCATATTTTCCTCTATTTTAAATATCTGCGGAGTTTATTCCATGTTACAGGTAGTATAGGGCTGGGCTCACCCACTCTTGAGTATTAACATAATGGGAAAAGAATTCTTGCATGTCTGACAGGATTATCTACCGTTTACACCAGTGCTAGAAAACCCTGTCTTACACTCCCCATGTAAGACAAGTCGCATGCTTTAAATGACCTCATTGTCGCACGCCTTTTATGAATGAATTGCGTTTTTAGGATGACGTCACTTAACCGTTACGAATGAAGTTGTAAGTTCATACGCTACTATAAGAAAAAGTGCGTAATGAGAATATCAGTTTTCGTAATTTCTGTTCTGAAAATAATTGATATGTAATATGCATGAAAAAGAATCAAACTACGGCTGTAGGTACAGATGGGAATATCTAGCTCTCAGGTAACTGTTTAAGTGGAAACTCGGCAGAGCCTCGTTACCGCCGTAAACAGTTACCCTCGAGCTAGATATTTCGGTCTGTACCGGCAGCAAGTGTTAGAATCAATCTAAAAAACATTTCTTAATTTCCAACAATTCAAAATGGTTGACAGTAAGTTAAAACGAAACAGAAGTTAATTATTACATACCCTGACGTCATGTGGATTTGTGGTTTCAAACGCACTAGGACCTTCTGTAAGGTATTTGTAGGCATATCCAATCTCTTGAAACTTTCCTTTAGCATCTTCACTGCCATTCTATACAAACATATCAATTAGATTAATTAAACCATAGGTTATAAAATGTTGAGCCCTTGTTTTAAACACAGAGGTTAGATTTCATGCCAAAAATATCTAAGCTCTAGGCATTGTAGCTTCTGAGAAAATAATTTTACTGTTCAAGTCTATATAAATTGTGACTCCCGGGATACAGCAAACTATGACTCTAGGGGAAAGATATATAAAACTTTAAGCCTATGTAAACAAAGTGACCACTAGAGCGGGGGCAATTTTTGATCCCAGGGACGTGATTTATTTTACTCTTCTAAACACAGTCACACCTTTTTTTTGGTTTGGTTAGTTATCTTTAGTTTCTTACACTTCTCAACAGACCTTATGAACAATATAACTGATCATCACAAATTCTACATTGAACATATACAGGGATCGAAAATTCCACTCGTCTGCTTGTATGTGTGAGTAGAGATCGATGCAAGACAAGTACAAAATCATACAATACTTCTCTGGCAGGATGAGCGAAAATTTGCAAATGTAATAGGAAGGTAGAATTCTCATTATAAGTTTGTTTAATTTAAACAATGGAAAACCAGAAACAAAGCTTGTGTTTTAGGTTATGTATAAATTGCACACTTTATGCATTGTAAATTGGATACAGATGTAACTGGAACATGCCAAACAATGCTCTATAAAGTGCACATTTTATACATAACCTAAACCACAAGCTTTGTTCCCAGTTTTGGTTCATTAAATTTGTATAAACACACTGATTAGGAAATTTCTAGCAGTCGATTGCATCAGCAAGGTTTTATTTCTTCAGGAAGATTCATTTTGAAAAATGTGCCCAAAATGCAGGACGAGTAGCATTTATAATCATACAGGACGAGCAGAAATTTGAAGCTACTCGTCCTGCAGGACAAGCGGCTCTAAAAAAATTTCTGATCCCCGATATGTAAATTCCAAAATAAATGATCATGGCCACTCCTTTACATAAGGAAAAGGTCTGTGAATCTTACACTTGAAATAACGTAAAAATAAGAATATTTACTCACCTTGTCAGGATGGTAAAGTAAAGCCATCTTCCTGTATGCCTTTTTAATATCATCTAAAGAAATAAAATCATAGAGTATTATTGTAAAAAAATCTATGGCGGCGAGATACGATGATGCGTCAAAATACTGATTTTTACTCTGAACTGCAGTTTATAAACTACTTTTCCATGCATTATTTTGTAGAGAAGCTATGGGTTTGCACGAAGTATTTGTTTGTTTTGCAATTCATGAGACTTTGCACTGTGACTTTGTATATCCAACGATAAATTCAAGATTGCGTTATGCGCGGAGAGCAAAAAAACAGCAAATTTTCTCCCAAGATTATGACGTTTTAGCAACTTTTTAAAAGTTAATATGCATATGAATTTATTGATTTGTACTTGTATATACATATATACATTTGTATTTTGACATATGCTATATATATGTAAATTGTAATTATGTTGGATGGACTTGTACTGTGCTATAAATCAACCATAAAGACAAAAAGGGCATGATCGATGACTGAATTCATGGTTTGGGATAATTGTGGAGCCGTAACAATTTATTAATCGGCAGTAACAATTTATTAATCATTGGTCAAGAGAGTTTAATGACTGTTGCATAGACATACTGTCTTTAAGTTGTCTTAATTAACCAAATAATAACAATGATAATCAATAATTATAATCTAAGCCATTAGGTCGATATTTTAGCAGAGTGCGTTAGAATTTGAATGACATAAGTATTCAGGCTGTGTCAAAGATTACATTAAAAGAATTAAAAGTATTATACATGTAAATAAAATTTAATTACATAAAGCCGATTATACAGATATAGAATGGTAAATAGAAAAATTTAAGACTTGTGTTTTTGATTTTAACAAATTTTGTCCGTCAAAATGAACCTGGCAAGTACATTTTATGAAGGGCGAGTTACTTTGTAAAGTCACTTGCCCTAGAAAAAATCATCAAAGCCTGGATAATCGGCAGGGCATTCCGATTATAGAACAATCACAATTTTTCAGCTTAAGAAAAATAGGTGTTTAAAAAAATTAGGAGTTCCAGGTTAAAACAGAAGCTGTACATGAAATACTGAATGACACATTAATTAAAATGTAAAATAAACAAAAGTTTTTATTTTATCTGTCTTCCCTGTTCATAGACTGTCTAATTTCATATCAATACACCCATAAACACTTTCAATATGATCTATGTAAATAACCGAGGTGTAGCGAGTGAAAAAAATAAAAGTTGCTTCCCTTATCTTCGAGTAAAATCGATATCGCTTATGCTAAAACAATACAAAATAAGCTGTTTTTAAACCGCTAGTTTGTTGTGATTTAATGTCCGATTTTAAAATGTATTACACCAATAGAAAGCTATGGATCTTAGCTTCATCACAGTATAAAATACAACACATCTTTGGACTTTAAAGTATTGAAATTAACTGTTAAACCTACCATATGTTAGACCATTTTACATACGATTTATACAGTGAGATACGCAACCCGCTATCTTTACTCGAAATACTACTGATAAGAATAGCCTGTCGTCTGCTAGTTCTGAAAGTGTTTATTGGTGTACATCTACATCATACTGCTTAACAATCAATTATGATTATGACTAGCAGTAAGACTAAGAGCAAATGTTAGTGGATATACCTTCTGTGGCACCTTCTGAGAGTCCAAGAGTAACTAAGCATTTTCTTCTCTCTGTAGACATTTTAGATCTGCAGGTTCCAGTTGATGATCGTCCTAAAACGGTTATAGATTATCCATATTTTTAAGTCATTTTAAAAAAGAGCTAACTTAAATTTTATGTACAAAATAGTTCTCTGTCTTCAGTTTTCCACCAACTTAAAACACTTTTTCCAATCACATTATTAGTCTCCTTTTCAAAAAGATAATGTTGATAAATGACAATCAATATATGTGACATGTACATGTACTATATAGATTTTCAGAAAATCAACAATGAACATTTGTTTTAATCTTATCTGATAAAGGAAAATGTTAATAATGATTTTCCCTACGGTATAATAACAATATCAATATAATATTAAACGTTAGTATTACTATTTGTAATTATATGCAATTAAACCAAATGGCACAGAACTCAGATGGGCCATGGGGGTTAACTGGTTATGACTTGGCAATTCCAAAAATAAAATAAAAATTTTACAGTAATATTTTTTTAGTAATTTACTTAGTAAACATACCTTACTTGTAGCCCAACTTAAGAATTTTATGCAACATTAAATTGGAATTTGGTTGGCTGCCATTTTTTAAAATTATTTTGGCACTATGACGTTAAAAAATCAGTTAATTTAAAAACGAAAGTTGGTTTTTCGTCGCTGTCAACATTTCCCGCGATAGCAGTCAGAGCGTGACAAAATTCTTTAAACGAATTTTTTTAAAAATTAATGATAATTGCAGTGCATTATAAAATATGAAGAATATATATCACATTTGAAATCAAATTTGTTTAATAAATACCTCTGTCTGTTTCCAGTTTCACTTACAAGAAAAATTAAAGCAAAAATAATTTCGTCCAAATCTCGATTTGAAATTTATTTTGATGGAAAAAAATAAAGATAGTAAATTTCACATTTGCAGACATAAAAAGGTAAATTTAAAGATCAGATATTTAAGAATTGTCTATTTTTGCATATATTGCACTTAACTGCGGTTGTTTGAAAAAGTCTTAATGTGAAAATACGTACGCAATTTTATTTTTTCTTGTTTGTCACATATTTTCGCGAGCTAAATTTTATTCCTTAAACAAACATTCAGCAATTCAATGGAGAAGATACAGAAGACCCAGGGCTACAGATAACATTTTGTGTATATTGGGTAATTACCCCTTATTTTGTGATCTATTGGGTTTTTTCTATTTTCTTTCAGTTATTTCTGTATTTTTTACCCTACCCCCTCTAACCAATTTGGGTTATAAAGTACAAGTTCATGCATTTTACCCAAAATTTTTGACCTTCATTGTAGACATTTGTAGGTTTTGTACGGTTATAAAAAAGCTACTTACTACTTTGCTTTATGGTTTATTGGCCTAGGAGATTTCCAAGTTGCCTTATATAATTTAAAGGTTAAAACAGTCTGAAACAGTATGATCTGCCTGATGTACGCGTTATGTAATAATTTTCGTCATTACGCACCAGTTCAAATGTAGTTTGTATAAATAAGAATTCATTTACTTTTTCTTACCCTTAGTTATTATTTCTATTGGGTTTTTAGACATTTTAATTGGGTAATAACGCAAATACGCATGTTATCTGCAGCCCTGAGACCGATACAAAAATATGTTTGCGTAACATTGTGACTGTCATAAATTGGACCACTATCTGTCTACTAAGCAAACATTAAAATATTTGTTAAAAATTTCTCCTCTCGCTTTAAACCCCAAAAAAAAATAGTGGCAATGTCAAAACAAGGGTTTCTTTTTTCAAGGACCAGGTCCAATATCTGTCTCATTTTCAACTGCTTTTGGCTAAAGTTAATGTAATAATATTTTTAGACCATTATGTGATGATGCTTGATCAGTGTCTGGTAAAAACTAAAAGAAAGAAATATTTTATTTTTTCCTTTGACAATATTCGTCTACACTACTTTAAAAATTTAACATAGACCCATTTAACCAATACACAGATTGACAGTTTCCGAACTAGCAGACGATAGGCTAAAATTTAACATAGACCCATTTAACCAATACACAGATTGACAGTTTCTGAACTAGCAGACAATAGGCTATTTTTATCAGTAGAATTGCAATGAAAGATAACCGGTTGTGTACCTCACTGTATAAACCTATGTTAAATGGGCTGACAGGGTAGGTTTAACCGTAAATTTAAATACCTTTAGTGTCAAACAATGTGTTCAAATATATACCGAGACGAAGATCACAAGCTTTTCATTGGTGTAATAAATTTTAAAATCGAACATTAACTCACCCCAAACTAGCAGTCTTAAAAATGGCTAAATTTGAATTGTTTGAGCATTTGTGACACATGGATTTTACTCGAAGGTAGGGGAAAAAACTTGTTATTTTTCACTCAATATATCAAGGACAAACCAGTTCTTAAATCTCTAAGCATTCAAGAGGTCTTTAAGAATAAATAAAAGTAAATCTTTATAAGAATTCTTTACATATGTACATTTTAATCTTTATGTAAGATTTCTGTAAAATTTGGCTGAAATTCAATAATTAAAAAAAGTTCTATTTATATCTTGAAAAAGCATAACCCTCTTTTTTAAAACTGACATGGCCTCTTAAAATAAAGTACCTAATCTCAACCCCTTAAGTATCTCAAAAATGTTACTGTTTAGTTTAGCCATAGAAGTGATTGTTATATGACTATGATATCACATGACTATGAAGTACCCTGAAGGATGCAGCTACCTGCTTTTAACATATTACCTGATATACAAGCCTTTTAAAGCCTTATTCACACATAAGTTTTCACATAGTGTTTTCATTTGACAGTAGCAGACATGTCTGTCAGAAACTAAGCTTTCATGCACACAAGTTCTGGACATCATACTAATTTCTAGTAAAAAAATAACAGCTCATGAATGAAAGGTTTGAGAATAGGTTAGGTGTGAGGTTAGGTACTTATATGATACCTCGGTTATTTACGTAGTTCATATAGAGACTGTCAATTGGTGTATTAAACTTTGAACAAAAAATATTTATTTACTGCAACAAGAGTTTGCATCAATTTTTTCAACATAAATATTGATTTTATTACGCTTACAGTTACCTACCTTCTGTTTCCAATGTTTGAGTAAACAAATATGCTGACTGGAAATTTTACAATTTTTCAGATAGTTCATCAACTCAGACGCCAGATTTCATGCATATGTGTTATATATGTGTGAAACTGATCTTTGAAAAAATAGAATAAATCATGCAATAGTGTGTCATAAAATAAATTATTATAATATAAACTGCAAAAGAGTTTTGAAAAATTTGGTAACACACATAAATTCTGAGTTATTTACAAGTCATAATTATTAAAATTAATTTGTCAGAGTTTAATTATCATTAGAAATTAACTAAACCAGACTTAATTAATAATATCCAGAAAGATTGTGAAGGAACGCGTTTTGCAGGTCATGCAAACTTTTTGATGATGTGCAGTGACTTTAAACAATGACGATGAAATTTCCTATATAATGATTTCTTGAAATATATTATGATTTCATTTCCAGTATATGTATAATGTTCATCAAAATAACTAAGTTAATACTATGTTTTTATATACAGGTAATGCTTAAATTGAACTTGTAAGTATTTTGATAAAAAAGAAAACCCCTGCCTATCACAAACAGTTTAAAAAAGACAAACTTATATATATTATATTTTGCAGAGGCAAATATTTTTTTAAGTGAAAGGCATAGAAAGTTACCAATTATTTTTAACATGCAGCAAAAGATAAAAAATTTAACTTCTAAATGTTGGATACTATAAAAGGATCAAATCTGCATCCATTAAGTTTTTAATTTCTTCAAAATGCCTAATTTTTCACTTTTTGAAAGGCGTGTCAGAGTGATATTTCAATGAAGTATATAGCAGCTGCTTATCTCTGTTATCTACATCTCTGTATTTTGTAAAACATTCTTGTTAATGTGATACATAATGTGGACAAATAATCAAATATGAATTTCATTGAAAGTATAATTGACAAATTGTTATTATATGCTTCCAGGTAAGAAGATGTTCAGAGCCCTGGCTAGGGTAAGGTATGACACCTTACGCCTCAACAAGATAGAGGAGCCACCGCCATCACCATTCCAAGTCAAGTCTTTGACAGAGCTTTCTTCTATAACATTGAACTGGTTCCCGTATCTGTTGGAGGATAACGGTCTGTGTATGTTACCTGTACATCTGGTTCCCAGGCTTCTGAAGATTGCTATCACCAATGACCAGTTCTGGTCAATTTCTACAATTATTGCTAACTGGCCTTTTGAAACTCTCAGGTAAGCGGAAATGTTGAATTTTAACCTTAACCATGCTAAATATCTGAAATAAACTTGTCCTGCCAGTCTTTCAGTGAGTTTGATATATTTTTTTATTGAGAAGTGAGAAAATTGCAATATTCATACTTCACACAAGCATGTAGCAGGTGTGAAAATTCAGATATTATCTTACATAGATGATAGAATAAGATATGAGATATATATTTCATCTTCACAAAAAACAGTCATTTTATGCCTAGTAACATTAGAAAAAAAAAAACACCTTATTTTCTAGAGGGTTGGTTCTAGGGGTTATTGAATGAGTGTTGGTTCAAAACTGAATTTATAATTAAAAGGGTTTAATATGGGAGCCTCTGGTGAGCAAAATATCATTTTATTCAACAAGTTCAATAAACTCTGTCAAATAAAAAAGCTTTGTCAAATAAAAACAGATTGTTTCAGTTAAAACATTTCCACATGAGTACACCTATACACACTACAATATACATAGAATACAGATCTACAAATTTGATACAAAAAATCTCATAATTAATTATATATTAGGTTCAGAGACATATTAACAGAGGAGGAAACAGTAGCATTTGAAGAAGATTTATGTGAGGTATCCTTTTACGTGTTTCAAGGGATAACCAACCGGACCAAACACTGCCGTCTAAAATGTCTCGATTTTACAGATATAATGCTCAGTAAGTTATAGAGGATATTCAAGATTTTTTTCTCTAAATACAGGATTTATTTTCATCGAGTGGTATGAAAGTAAATATTTCATGAGTAGTGGTACATGTAGCCACGAGTTAACCGCCACAAGTGAAATATGATTATTTTCATACCACAAGATGAAAATAAATCCTGTATTTTTATAGAGAAAAACTTGAATTTTCTGTTTATTTATATACATGTACATTTAAATAAGATTTGTATATTGGCTGAATTTAGAAGAAAGTGGTCTGGCAAGACATCAGTTAAAATACATAAAACTAGTACATTTTTCACTCATTTTACAGTGAAAATACAGAAAATGAAAATAAGCATTTTATTTCATCAATATTTCTCAATTTTTCATTTTTATTATATAATAAATATATTTATTAGAACATTGTAATTATGTACTCTAGATTAGACATATTCAGCATTATGTTGACATGAGATTGTTTTACATGCAAGACTTATCTGATATAATTACAAGTAAATATTGACATGTATACCTGTTGTTGTTGTTTGGATGGCAAGTGACTTTTCTTCATCGGTGCAAAATAAGCAGCGAGGTCTTCACAGTGAAATGAATTATAAATTTACTCTTATCATGAGATAAACTTCTTACAGTTTCTTATTTCTTGTTACCGTGCTAACAACTTTTTTATGGACATTTCAGGTCGCATATTCACAAAACTTATCATACAAACCTGGCCACTGCTGTCACTGAAGAAATCTCAGATGAAACCAAAAGTACTGGCTAAAACTATAGCACGGGTTGCAGGGATAAACAGTAATACAAAGGGTATGTTCGCACAATCTTCTTTTCTTTTGCAGATTTAAAAGATACAAAGCAGACACTAATTTTGAAATTCATACTATATATGTTTTATTTTTATAAATAGTTGATTTTTTGGACTGATCAATAGTCAACTGATTTACTGAAGTAAACGTGTAATAATTCATTTGAATTGCTATTATCCTATTGGACAACAAATAACTTAATAAACACTGAAGATGGAAAAGAATTAAATATCCTTTGCTATTGCAATATAAACAAAATAATACAATAACTTTATGTGCTATTTTTTGTGTTGATGTGTTTTTAAAACAAGATTTAGTTTAAAAAAGGTATTCATCTTTTATAGGTGCAGACAAAATGAAACTAACCTCAGAGATAATACCAAAGATACTGGCAGAGAGGTTGACGCATGAGGTCATTGTGACATCGGACAGAATTGTGCTACCTCGAGGTAGGGAGTCCTCTAATTGCATCAATTGCATAAATTTTCAGCTTGACTATTCAGAGAAAAGTAGGGCTTTCCTTTCACCCTTGTGTTAGGGTTGGTTGGCTTAATGTAGCCTAGACTCGAAGTTAGTATCTGAAAATTTTGCACATCTGTTTATTGTCAATTTTTATGTCTCCCCCACCTCGGGGGGAGACATATTGTTTTTGCCCTGTCCGTCCGTCAGTCCGTCCGTCCGTCAGTCCGTCCGCACTCACAGGACAGTAATTATGTGGCTAGAGGGACAATAGGTAACTGTTATTTCTCTTTGATGTCATTCATTCCATAATGCTTTTATGTGGCTATTTTCTTTTGTGTGGCTAAAAAGAACAATAGAGAGAACAAAAGAGTAGCCACATAATTACTGTCCTGTGAGAACGTCCGTCCATTCTTCGTTTCCGGACGATAACTAGAGTTCCTTTTGACCTACAGCTCTCAAACTTCATAGGATGAATGGTCTTATACAGCTGATGATCCCTATTGTTTTTGGGGTCAGTAGGTCAAAGGTCAAGGTCACACTGACCGTTGGTCAATTTCTCGTTTCCGGATGATAACTAGAGTTCCTTTTGACCTACAGCCCTCAAACTTCATAGGATGATTGGTCTTATAGAGCTGATGATCCCTATTGTTTTTGGGGTCAGTAGGTCAAAGGTCAAGGTCACACTGACCGTTGGTCAATTTCTCGTTTCCGGATGATAACTAGAGTTCCTTTAGACCTACAGACCTCAAACTTCATAGGATGATTGGTCTTATTGAGCAGATGATCCCTATTGTTTTTGGGGTCAGTAGTTCAAAGGTCAAGGTCACAGTGACCGTTGGTCAATTCTCGTTTCCGGATGATAACTAGAGTTCCTTTTGACCTACAGCCCTCAAACTTCATAGGATGATTGGTCTTATAGAGCAGATGATCCTATTGTTTTTGGGGTCAGTAGGTCAAAGGTCAAGGTCACAGTGACCGTTGGTCAATTTCTCATTTCCGGATGATAACTAGAGTTCCTTTTGACCTACAACCCTCAAACTTCATAGGATGATTGGTCTTATTAATCAAATGATCCCTATTGTTTTAATGGTCAGTAGGTCAAAGGTCAAGGTCACAACAGCGACCGTTGGTTAATTTCTCCTTTCCGGATGATAACTAGAGTTCCTTTAGACCTACAACCCTCAAACTTCATAGGATGATTGGTCTTATTGAGCAGATGATCCCTCTTGTTTATGGGGTCAGTAGGTCAAAGGTTAAGGTCACAGTGACCATTGGTCATTTTCTCATTTCCGGATGATAACTAGAGTTCTTATCAGTGAGGACATTTAACTATTATTGATATATCAGTGATATATCAGTTGTCTGGTTTTATATACTCTGTTCTTTTATCTCCATTTCCATTCCTGTTTCCATTCACAGTTATTCTTCAGCAGTGGGGGAGACATGCGCTTTTTTACAAAAGCATCCTCTAGTTTTTATTTGAGTGTGGATCAAAATTTTGTTGTTCCTTGAAGTATTTTGATTTTTTTTTTTTTTTTTTTTTTTTTTTTGCACACCATCGTTAACCTAAGCATCTTAAAGAAAAGAGATCAAGGTCAAATTTAGAATATTTCTTTTTTTGTGTCCATATCTTAATCACACTTTGATGAATTTTGAAATAACTTGGCACAAATGTTCAACATTCAGAATCTAACACAGATTCGGTAATCAAGGATGATCTTTGTTGGGTATGTTTCTTTCTATGACACATCTTGTTGGCTATTATAATTAGGTAATATCTCTAGTATTTTACAGAATATTACCAATTTTTAAATGTCTCCCTAGCAACTAAGATATTTGCTTGAGTTTTCGTACATATTTTAAGTGTCATGATTTAATTTTACTGACCAAGACCTGTTAATATTGATTTTCACTGAATTATTCCCTTTTGTGAATTTTCCTGTGACCATAGACCCTTTATTTTATTATACCTCATGTAAACGTTTTTCTTCAAAGCTTAATGTGACATCACATGGTGTCAGAGATCAAAAATTCCACTTGTCCACTCATAATTATGAGTAGACTTTAAGAGAACTTGCCGTATTGCCGGCACATTGGATTTAGAAGCTACTTGTGACAAGTGACTGAAAATGATTTTTGATACCTGTCATAATAAAATTATATTTTCAGATCAATTTATTGTCTGCTATATTTGATAAGAAATATCAGATCACATTTACACACAACATTGATATACCAATTATTTCATGGTTTCTTTTACAATCATAAGATTCTTAATACTATAATCATAATTGTCTACGGTATCACAGACCTCCCATGATAGACCATTTCACTTTAAAGACCAGCTACGTAAAACGATGTATATGTAGCCTTATGTCAGGATTATGATTTGAAACAAAAATTTAAGACATATAAAATCTGTCATATGTTGCAGTTCAGATAGATGTATCCATCCCATGGGCGGATCCCAAAGGGATGGATATTCTGTTTTGAACCGTAAACACGTCAGATATTTTTCCTTGCATATTCTACCATATTCCATCATATTTCAAATTTTTGACCGTAATAAAACAATTTTCCATGGAAATATATATCCTTATACCTGAAACTATTTTCTTACAACAGCATATGAAATTACAACTTTTTTAATAATGGTGAAGTTACGTCATTCTAAGCATGCCATTATAGCACATATTTCATCTGGCAACCCAATGCCAGATGTAATTTCCGATATGTGTAAATCTAACGGAACACCAGTCTGATATGCAAAAAAAGTTAATCCACTTTGGTGAAAGTAACTATGTTGTCTTTATGATGGAAAGGTTTATGAAGAATTATCATTAAAGTCAGATATAAAATTAATGTTCTTGTTTTAGGTCAAAGATTGGAAGTGAAGATAGACAATTGTCATTTTACATCCAACAACATGTTCTTCATGGATTACATGATATGTAACTGTCTGCGTTCTATAACACCAGTATATGTGACAGTCTCCAATATTCACATCAAGTATGTATATGGTAGTGTTATGCTATGTTATGATAGTTATGTCACGTTAATTTATTTTGTTTTCGAAAAACGACAGTTGCCAAGTGGTTAGAATCATTAGATCCTTGACTCTAAAACCACTTAACCATGACTGCTATTGAGTTAGAATCCCAACATGGACTATGGATTGTTTCAGATTAGGAAGCTATCTGTCTGGCTTTCCAAACATTGGTGGTTCTACTCAGGTGCCTGAAATAATGCACGAAGGAGCACCTTATGTCTTCCACCTCCAGTACAGCTGGAAAGTTGCCATTTGACATTTAAAGTTTTGGTGTGACGTTAAACCAAACCAAAACAAACAAAAAAAAACATTGTATATAAAATCACAGAAATCATCTTTACCGGCAAATTTATTGCATGTCAGTTTGTAGACAAATAATTTCTGTAAAACGTTTTCATTTTATAACCTAGAGTCTTCATAATTTAGCTTAACATAATTTTGGTCAAATGCTTCATTTTCAGCAATTTTATATAATGTAATATTATCTTTACCTCAGAATTACAGTAACCTTCGTGGTGTAATTTTCACAATAACTTTTCATTGCGTAATTGTTCAGGCATGTAATGCATATTTATGGGTTTTATTAGCTCACCTGTCACAAAGTGACAGGGTGAGCTTTTGTGATCGCTTTTCGTCCGGCGTCCGTCCGGCCGTCCGTCGTCCGGCCGTCTGTCCGTAAACTTTTACTTTAAATGACATCTCCTCATAAACCACTAAGCCAATTTCATCCAAACTTCACAGGAATGTTCCTTTGGTGGTCACCTTTAAAAATTGTTCAAAGAATTTAATTCCATGCAGAACTCTGGTTGCCATGGCAACCGAAAGAAAAAACTTTAAATATCTTCTTTTAAAAAACCCTAAGAGCTAGAGCTTAGATATTTGGCATGAAACATCTTCTAATGAGTGTCTACCAAGTTTGTTCAAATAAAAGCCCTGGGGTCAAAATTGGCCCCGCCCCAGGGGGTCTTTGATTTTCCCTATATGCATATAGTAAAAACTTAAAATATCTTCTTTTAAAGAACCCAAAGAGCTAGGGCTAAGATATTTAGCATGAAACATGTTCTAATGAGTGTCTACCAAGTTTGTTCAAATAAAAGCCCTGGGGTAAAAATTGGCCCCGCCCCAGGGGGTCATTGATTTTCCCTATATGCATATAGTAAAAACTTAAAAAGTCTTCTTTTAAAGAACTCAAAGAGCTTGAGCTAAGATATTTAGCATGAAACATCTTCTAGTGAGTGTCTACCAAGTTTGTTCAAATAAAAGCCCTTGGGTCAAAATTGGCCCCGCCCCAGGGGGTCTTTTGATTTTCCCTATATGCATATAGTAAAAACTTAAAAAATATCTTCTTTTAAAGAACCCAAAGAGCTAGGGCTAAGATATTTAGCATGAAATTTCTCTTTATGAGTGTCTACCAAGTTTGTTCAAATGAAAGCCCTGGGGTAAAAATTGGCCCCGCCCCAGGGGGTCATTGATTTTCTCTATATGCATATAGTAAAAACTTAAAAAATCTTCTTTTAAAGAACTCAAAGAGCTAGAGCTAAGATATTTAGCATGAAACATCTTCTAATTGGTGTCTACAAAGTTTGTTCAAGTAAAAGCCCTGGGGTCAAAATTGGCCCGGCCCAGGGGTCCTTGATTTTCCTTATATGTGTATAGCAAAAAGTTAAAAAATCTTCTTTGAAAAAACCCAAATAGCTGGAGTTTAGATATTTAGCATGAAACATCTTCTAGTGAATGTCTACAAAGTTTGTTCAAATAAAAGCCCTGGAGTCAAAATTGGCCCCGCCCCGGGTGTTATTGATTTTCCTTATATTTGTACAGCAAAAACTTAAAAATCTTCTTTGAAAAAACCCAAATAGCTAGAGTTTAGATATTAAGCATGAAACATCTTCTAGTAATTGTCTACAAAGTTTGTTCAAATAAAAGCCCTTGGGTCAAATTGGCCCCGCCCCAGGGGTGTCATTGGTTTAAACTATATGTGTATAGAAAAAACTTAAAAAATCTTCTTTTAAAAAAAACCCAATGAGCTAGAGCTTAGATGTTTAGCATGAAACATCTTCTTATGGGTGTCTACCAAGTTTGTTCAAATAAAAGCCCTGGGGTTAAAATTGGCCCTGCCAGAGGGGGGGGGGGGGTATGGAAGGAGGGGGTAGATTGTTGTTTTTCATTATATGTGTGTAGTAAAAACTTAACATCGTGAAATATCTTCTAATGGGTGTCTTCCAAGTTTGTTCAAATAAAAGCCCTGGGGTTTAAACTGGCCCCGCTCCGGGTGCCTTTATACAGGTGAGCGACCTCAGGGCCATCATGGCCCTCTTGTTATAATTTAGGTAACTTATATTTTATCTTCTGTAGGTCAGAGTTGATGGAAGGGGATGGTTTCACAGATTCTCTCGTGCCATTTCTTGTTCTAAGAGGTCAAGATACAGAGGTAAGGTCATAGGGAAAGTGCAATTTTACCATGATACCAAAATTGGTTTATCAATAGCTATCGATAAGGATGATGGACACACCTGTGTTGTCAAGCATTGACATTAACTTTTTCCACCCTAAATATCTTAAATGGACTTGTCCATCTTTAAATCTAGATGAAACCATTCATTCTTTTTTAGGGAAAATTTTTGAATATGTACTGATTGAATAGCAAACAGAACAGACCATAAATTGATGGCACAGGTGTGCTGGCTGATCATGGTCTGCACTGGTCACATGGGTAAAATCTGTTGCCACCAGTAGGCTAAGAGTTAATCAACTAATCTAAACAAGACAGGTTATCTTTAATATGGCTCTTGTACCTTTTTCATTCCAGTTGGTTCATTTTTATGCCCCCAGGGCGCATATTAAAATCTCTCCATCTGTCTGTCAGTCTGCAGTACCGAATAGGGATAGGGGGCTATCTAACTGTAAACAGAACAAAAGAGAACAATAGAGTTCATTCCATAAGAATAGAGTAAGGGGCCATTTTCCCTCTATTAAACAATAGAAAATAACAAAATAAATGGCCCCTTATTCCATTTTGGCTGGACATCCATGCGCCCCCACTTCATTTTTGTCCGGACTGTAACTTTGTCATACATTGAGGGATTTTGAAATGGCTTGACACAAATGTCTACCACATCAAAATGATGTGTCACGTCCAAGAACCACATCCCTATCTTAAAGGTCATGGTCACACTTACATTTTTAGTTTGGCACACTTACATTTTTAGTTTGACTATTCTAAGAATAGGGAGAGCTATGGTACCCACCAAGCTGTTTTCATCACACCTTGGTTAAGTTTTTGTGTGCAAGAGGTTTTCTCTAAAACTACTGGAGGGAATGGGTTTAAACTTTGCAAACTTATTTGAAAGCATAAAAGGAGGTCACTTTCTAAGGCCTATAACTCTAACAAGATTTTGACAGAATTATGGTCCTTTGAACTTAGAAAGTTCAACATTTTTCAGGCTCTTGATTTACTGTAAAGCACTGAGAATGCTGTCCTTACAGGTCTTGTTTTAAAAGAAATTTATTCCCTTTAATGAATCATTATAACATCATGAAATGAAAGAAAATATTGCTTATAGACTTCCAAATTCTCATGAAAAGTGTTAAAGATAGTATTGTAACATCTTGGTTTGATTTTTATTATACATCAGAAAAAAAAGAATCCCCTTTTGTCAATATTGGCTCATTTGGTTATTGTAGACATATACAGGAAGTCTTTATGTGAAATTACAATGCCCTGGTATTTAACATGTTGTATTGATTAGTGGACCTCTACAAAAATGACATAAATCAAAACCCTAGTGTACAAAATGGGTTCTGTATAATAAAGTTAAAACATAAATTAAAATTTTTAGCTCTTTAAAACTACGCAGTCAAGAGGTTAGATATTTGTCATAAAGCACCGATGAAAGCATCTGGAGGAACATTTCATTATAAAAAAAATTTGTTAAAATTTGATATATTAATGTTGCAGGAAAAATATACAATACAAAGAAATAAAATGCAAGAAATTAAATATCAGAATTTTAGTAAGAATGTTAGATGTTTGAAAAAATTGACGCGTTTTTAGCTCACCTGTCACAAAGTGACAGGGTGAGCTTTTGTGATCGCTTTTCGTCCGGCGTCCGTCCGTCCGTCCGTCCGTCGTCCGTCCGTAAACTTTTGCTTTAAATGACATCTCCTCATAAACCACTGAGCCAATTTCATCCAAACTTCACAGGAATGTTCCTTTGGTGGTCACCTTTAAAAATTGTTCAAAGAATTTAATTCCATGCAGAACTCTGGTTGCCATGGCAACCGAAAGAAAAATCTTTAAATATCTGCTTTTAAACAACCCTAAGAGCTAGAGCTTAGATATTTGGCATGAAACATCTTCTAATGAGTGTCTACCAAGTTTGTTCAAATAAAAGCCCTGGGGTCAAAATTGGCCCCGCCCCAGGGGTCATTGATTTTCCCTATATGCATATAGTAAAAACTTAAAAAATCTTCTTTTAAAGAACTGTAAGAGCTAGAGCTAAGATATTTGGCATGGAACATCTTCTAGTGAGTGTCTACCAAGCATGTTCAAATAAAAGCCCTGGGGTCAAAATTGGCCCTGCCCCGGGGGGTCATTGATTTTCCCTATATGCATATAGTAAAAACTTAAAAAGTCTTCTTTTAAAGAACAGTAAGAGCTAGAGCATAGATATTTGGCATGAAACATCTTCTAGTGAATGTCAACCAAGTTTGTTCAAATAAAAGCCCTTGGGTCAAAATTGGCCCCGCCCCTGGGGGTCATTGATTTTCCCTATATGCATATAGTAAAAACTTAAAAATCTTCTTTTAAAGAACCCAAAAAGCTAGAGCTAAGATATTTGGCAAGAAACATCTTCTAGTGAATGTCTACCAAGTTTGTTCAAATAAAAGCCCTTGGGTCAAAATTGGCCCCGCCCTGGGGGGTAATTGATTTTCCCTATATGCATATAGTAAAAACTTAAAAAATCTTCTTTTAAAGAACCGTAAGAGCTAGAGCTTAGATATTTGGCATAAAACATCTTCTAGTGAATGTCTACCAAGTTTGTTCAAATAAAAGCCCTGGGGTCAAAATTGGCCCCGCCCCAGGGGGTCATTGATTTTCCCTATATGCATATAGTAAAAACTTAAAAAATCTTCTTTTAAAGAACAGTAAGAGCTAGAGCTTAGATATTTGGCATGAAACATCTTCTAGTGAATGTCTACCAAGTTCGTTCAAATAAAAGCCTTGGGGTCCAAATTGGCCCGCCCCAGGGGGTCATTGATTTTCCCTATATGCATAAAGTAAAAACTTAAAAAATCTTCTTTTAAAGAACAGTAAGAGCTAGAGCATAGATATTTGGCATGAAACATCTTCTAGTGAATGTCTACCAAGTTTGTTCAAATAAAAGCCCTGGGGTCAAAATTGGCCCCGCCCGGGGGGTCATTGATTTTCCCTATATGCATATAGTAAAAACTTAAAAAATCTTTTTTTAAAGAACCGTAAGAGCTAGAGCTTAGATATTTGGCATGAAACATCTTCTAGTGAATGTCTACCAAGTTTTTTCAAATAAAAGCCCTGGGGTCAAAATTGGCCCCGCCCCAGGGGGTCATTGATTTTCCTTATATGCATATAGTAAAAACTTAAAAAATCTTCTTTTAAAGAACCCAAAGAGCAAGAGCTAAGATATTTAGCATGAGACAAGTTCTAATGGGTGTCTACCAAGTATGTTCAAATAAAAGCCCTGGGGTCAAAACTGGCCCCGCCCCGGGGTCATTGATTTTCCTTATATACATAGCAAAAACTTAACAATCTTCTTTGAAAAAACCCAAATAACTAGAGTTTAGATATTAAGCATGAAACATCTTTAAGTAAATATCTACAAAGTTTGTTCAAATAAAAGCCCAGGGGTCAAAACTGGCCCTGCCCGAGGGGTGTCATTGTTTTTAACTATATGTGTATAGTAAAAACTTAAAAAATCTTCTTTTAAAAAACCCAATGAGCTAGAACTTAGATGTTTTGCATGAAACATCTTCTTATGGGTGTCTACCAAGTCTGTTCAAATAAACAAATAAAAGCCCTTGGGTAAAAATTGGGCCGGGGGGGGGGGGCTATATACAGGTGAGCGACCTCAGGGCCATCATGGCCCTCTTGTTGATCAAATCATTTCAGTTATTAGATGGATTGTCATTGAGGCAGCTTGAAGAAGGAATTCTACACGTCATCTCACCGGACATCATGAAATTCACCAATCTTCAAAGTTTGGATATCCAAGACTGTAATCTCTACCTTCAGGAGGGAATAACTCGTAGTCGCACAGCTACTCGGTCACGACTTTGCAATATGTTCTCAGCATTCCATCATTTACATCGACTGGACATCAGTTTTAACTTTCTCATTGGTTGTCTAGGCGAGTTGCTCGACGCATTACAAAACCCATTAGACTACCTCAGTGTTCGCGGCTGTGATCTTAACGAGACCGATCTCAACAATTTAGCCAAATCAAAACATGCGCCTCATCTGCGAGAACTAAATATGTCAAAACTGTGCAGTTTCTCAATGTACGAAAGTGATAGAATAGCTCCTCTGCGTATTTTGAAAACGATGAAACATTTTCCGAAAATGACCGTGCTTAACCTTTCGCAGAACCACCTTCCGGATGACGGTATTAGAGAATTTACAGAGATTTTATCGAAAGATCTTGCACATTTGAAAGTGCTAGATATCTCGGGTAATATTATGCAATTTGAAAGTCAACTCCAACTGGCAAAGGCGTGTGCGGAAATTCCCAAAATGCAATTGGTGCGTCTGACCTGTATGAATAGTGCCGTGAATGACGATATATTTATGAATAATCATCAGATTGACGGAATGTACAACAAACTGATAGAAGTTATGAAATCTCGAGGTAGAGACGATATTCATATCGATGTTGTTCAGTTATCGGTAGGAATACTAGTCGACTGGTTTGATTTCATAAATGATTGACAAGATGCGTGGATTGATGTTGGATAGATGGGACAATAAAAACGATCTGCCTACAGAAGCACTATGTGATTTAGAGGCAACATTTTATAGATTTGTGAATGCCAAACCAAGATGACTTGTATTTTAGAAACTTAAGTGTTAACGGGATAATCTACAGCTGCATATGTCTTGAATTGAAATTTTCTTTCATTCACTACAGTTCATTGTCTGCCTGTTCAGATTTTTTTTTTGGGGAAGGTTATAAAAGCAAGTTGTTTTTTTGTGTAACTGAGCCTTGACAAATGAAAAATTGTGAATTTTAAGTTATACAAATGAACAGCATTTTTAGAAAACTAAGAAATTTAAGCATTGTAAATTGTTACCTGTTTGGGACCTGTGATTAATATGACTTCTGAGTCTTAAGTAACTGCTACCGTATGTTTTTTCATTTATGTACAAAATATTTTGAAATAGCATTGAACGTTAAAAAGAAATATATTTTCTATATTATGTTCAACAAAATAACAGACTGTATTGAAATGTTTGACTAAAACACATTTGATAAAGTGTACAGTTGGAAACTACGAGATTTTAATAATATGTAGTTTTATGTGTCATTTCAAATGAAAAGTATGTGAAAAAATAATTGTATAGCTTTTCATGTAAGATTTTGCCTCCGTTTATGAGTAAAATTAACATAGGAATAGAAAGAAAGGCAGGTTACATTACATGTAAATAGAGTGATGTTTATATATAGATGAACGCCGTGCCATGACAAAACCAACATAGTGCGTTTTGCGACAAGCATGGATCCAGACCAGCTTGCGCATTAGCGCAGTCTGATCAGGATCCATGCTTACCCTATTACAAGTAGAGAAACTGATAGCGAACAGCATGGATCCTGATCAGACTGCGCGGATGCGCAGGCTGGTCTGGATCCATGCTGGTCGCAAACCCATTATGTTGGTTTTGTCATGGCACGGCTCATTTATAAATCAGGTAACAGTGTGTAAAATATCAAAGTTGTCTGTGGCTGAATGATAAGATTTGCTGACTTATGACAAATTGATCTACACTGCTTTAAGTTTGAACCCCACCAGGGTGTTTAGGATTCTTTCATGTGGGGTAGCTTTCTAGCTTGCTTACATGAAGTTGGTCATTCTTGATGTATATACTAATGCCTGAAAAGCCAGTGATGAATATAGAGGCACCCCAGGTCATCATCCAATAGTAAATCTAGAAAGTTGCCATGTGACTTTTACAGTATTATTAGAACGACTAAAATGTTATTGAAATGTAAATACCTATGTAACAAATCAGCAACTATTTGTAAATATGTTTAATATATTGTTATAAATATGATGTTATATGTTCAAATTTCAAAACAGAAATACATGTAAGGCAATAAAGAAATATGAATAGTCCAAAATATTAAACTGTTGAGATTGACAATACACCCTGTAAATTAATGACCCTGAGCTTTTGTGATCCATCGCCCGTAAACTTTTACTTTAAACAACATCTCATAAATGGCTAAGCCAATTTCATCCAAACTTCACAGGAATAGTCCTTTGGTGGTCACCTTGAAAATTGTTCAAAGAATTTTATTCCATGCAGAACTCTGGTTGCCATGGCAACCGAAAGAAAAAACTTAAAATTTCTTCTTTTAAAAAACCCAAAGAGGTAGAACTTACATATTTGGCGTGAAACATCTTTTAGTGAGTGTCTATCAAGTTTGTTCAAATAAAAGCCCTGGGGTCAAAATTGGCCCCGCCCCAGGGGGTCATTGCTTTTCTTAATATGTATATAGTAAAAACTTACAAAATCTCCTTTAAAAAACAGAAAGAGCTAGAGCTTAAATATTTGACATGAAAATTTGTCTGATGAGTGTCTACCAAGTTTGTTCCAATGAAAGCTCTGGGGTCAAAATTGGCTTTGCCCCGGGGGGGGGGGGGGTCATTGATTTTCCTTATATGTCTATAGTAAAAAACTTAAAAAATCTTCTTTTAAAAAAATTTAAAGAGCTAGAGCTTAGATATTTATCATAAACCATCTTCTAATGAGTGTCTACCAAGCTGGTAAAAAAAGAAAGCACCTGGGTTAAAATTAGCCCCGCCCCAAGGGCCTATATACGGGTGAGCGATTTCAGGGCCATTATGGCCCTCTTGTTTAAGATATTTTTGTTTATTAATCTGTGGAGTTATAATAAAATGTCTGTAAATCACTTGCATTTCAACATTGTGGGTTCCATTACTGCCAGGAACTATGAATTCTTTATGTGAGGAAGCTATCCAGCTAGCTTATGGAACGTTGGTGGTTCTTCTTAGATACATGTTTGTGCCTGAAATTATCCACGTAAGGGCACTTAAGGTGTTCATCCACAAGTAAAGCTAGAACGTTGCTATATGACCTATACTGTGTGGGTGTGATGTAAAATCGGACCAGCCACATGGAGTTATATCATAGTCTCAAATGATCAGGTTCTACATGGCCCAGTTGTTAAGGCTGCTGACTTTAACTTTCATATCACCACTGTGGATTCGAATTCCACCAGGGACCTTGAAATGTTTCCATGTGAGGAAGCCATCCAGCTAGCCTACTGTCTACGCAGAGCCAGGTGACATACTGTGTTGCCTACAAACTTTTAATTTTCATCTTGATATTCCCAAACTTGATAATGGATGGTTCCAAAATCGGGAACTGGAAATGTTTATTTAAGAAATTCTGCAGATTAGGGTTAAAATTAAAAAAAACAGACAAGATGTTGTACAGAATGATTAATTGATATATCTGTGAAGGAAGTACTAACTCATAATTTTGGGAGGCTTTTGTTTAATGTTATTTTTTATGAGCTTGTTTCATATTGATTAAAGCCGAAGTTTTTCAGGTTATTTTATTTTGTTATTCTATTTTACCCCATGGTCCTCGTCCTGGTCCCTCGTCCTGTTTTCGGCTTACCAGAGTCTAATGTTCTTTATTGAATGTTTGGGGTTCTGGTATGAGGGGTTCTGGTATGAAAAGAGTACACATACATCGTTTAAATTAACAAACAGGAAAACTTCAATCACAAGAAAAAGACCAACGTTCTTATTGGGATTCGAACCCCTAGCAACAAGAAATCGGCTTCCGTAAACATAAGGACACTAGAGCCTCATAGTTGCTAAGTACCTAGAATGCTAAGGCAATTCTAAGAAACTTAATACTCACAAAATACTTTTTCATGAAGACCAGAATACAGAAGAAGATATGTTTTATTCAAACGTCACAATACACAATTGACGAGGCCATTATAGCTCATAGTAATAGTTTTGGTATATAAACAAATATCATTAGTCAACAATAAATTTGTCAATATAGTGAACAAAGTATATGTAAAAATAGTAAGATACGCTACGCTTACAAGCTTTCAATACATAGATCTAGTTAACTATATAAATGTAGGTAAACTATAATATGAACGCCGGTGTAACGTTGTAAATTGGCCCCCATAGAATATTGACCCCCGGTCATTATTTTATATAAAATAGTGACCCCCTTCTATAAAATAGTGACCCCCTTGTATATAAAATAATGACCCCTATATTATCTATTAAATATTGACCCCCACCTAACATAATAATTATATAAAGTCAACATCATATTACATTTGCTTATACGTGTTGTTGCTGCTTGTGGTACTGCTGCTGCTACTGCCGCGATAACAGCTGACAAAACAACAGTAAAATTCAGAGGTCCCGCTAAGAATAAGCGAATATCTAACAAAAAAATTTAATGAATTTTAAAGTACTAATAATTGCTTAATGCAAAATTCTCTCTGAAAGAGTGTTCATTTTCAGTGAGAAGAGTTTCGGTTAAGAATGAGTTCAAAGCCCAGAGCAAAGCAACCTTTTTAATTTCTTTTTTCTTCATTTAGGCCATTCAGCTATATAGGCCATCATTTTTTATAGGTAAATAGGTATTTTGACTGAAAGAAATTAGTTCTTTATCACTTAACCTTAGAACTATTAGCAACACAATGCATATTAAGCAAACATCTCACGAGGGCGACAAACAGTGATTTTCATCAAGCGGAAAAAAATGAATCAATATTGTTAAAAAAGAGGAAATGACTACATACTATTCAAAATGATTCGTCAATAAACTCACATTAATAATGCACTAAAAAGCAAGTTCGAAATGTAAATACTGTTCTTATAAGCTGAACAATTACACAATATGACCGACAAAAAAAAAGACACCAGCTTAAGTCATTTGTAGTTTTCCATCGACAAAATCGTCTATGGTACTTCTGTAAACTTAAAAGAATCTCGAACTATTAAAATCATTTAATACGGTGTTCCGTTTGGACAATTGTGACTTTTAATTTAGTCTGTACCCCCGATGCACGATGGTACGATGGTGAAAACGCGATGGTACGATGGTGAAAACACGATGGTACGATGATGAATACTCGATGGTACGATGGTGAAATCGCGATGGCGCGATAGTACGATGGTGAAAACACAATGGAACGATAGTGAAAACGCGATGGCACGATGATGAAAACACGATGGTGCGATGGTACGATGGTGAAAACGCGATGGTACGATGGTGAAATCGTGTTGGTACGATGGTGAAAACGCGATGGCACGATGGTGTAAGTGCGAATGGATCGATGGTGAAAACGCGATGGCACGATGGTGAAAACGCGATGGTACGATGGTGAAAACACGATGGCGCGATGGTACGATGGTGAAAACGAGATGGAACGATGGTGAAATCGCGATGGCATACCATACCGCGTACCATCGTACATCGCGGGTTAGGATGAAATAAAAAAAATCACGATTGTCCAAACGAAACACCGTTATTTAACGTCCGTCATAAATAATGATATTTCACCATACAAGACAGTCATGTTACTTTAATTTCTATGTTAAGTGCGCACGAATGTTGTTTTCACAATCAATGCCCTAAGAAAATAAGTAAACTTAAAGAAAGGGACACATTATATACACCGATAGAAAAAGTTGTTATCTATGGTGGCACAAAGGTGACATGTGTGTATTTTTATTCAACTCGTCACGAGTTACTAAGTCGTGGTCTAGAGATAACTAAGTCGTGGCCACGAGATACTATGTCGTGGCCACGAGTTACAAAGTCGTGGCAACGAGATACTATGTCGTGACCACGAGATACTATGTCGTGGCCACGAGTTACTAAGTCGTGGCCACGAGATAGCTAAGTCGTGGCCACGAGATACTATGTCGTGGCCACGAGTTACAAAGTTGTGACCACGAGATACACTATGTCACGGCCACGAGATAGCTAAGTCGTTAAGAGGTAATAAATCTGAAAATATTGGAACTAGAGTTGTGAACCTTGAACCGACGTCGAGGCGGGTGGAACAGCTCTCCGTATAATTCGTATAGCCGAGCTAATAAGAACAAACAATGACTACAGTCGAATAACATATCCCTGGCCGTTGTCATTTGTAGAAAATGCAGACTGAGGCAGGGCTTCGATTATAGTAGCTATAGTAGTTTGAAACAATTTCTCAAATTGTTGCACGGTTGCGTGGACACACCCACGGAAAAATTGACATTATCATATTTCTCATCTGATATAATTATATTGAGAGTGTTTCTTTGAAAAAGTCTAGTAAGGGCTTTATAGTTTGGGTTGGAGTGGGGGTCATTATTCTACATGGGGGTCACTTTTCTATTCGATGGTCATTTTTCTACGTGTATGGAAATCATAATATTATGACCCCCGGTCATAATA